GCCGGGTCCAGGGAAGGCTTCTTGAGGAGGGGCCTCACTACCGCCTCTTTCAAGGCGGCAGGAAAGGCACCCTCACTCAGAGAAGCACTTATAATCCCCTGGAGCCAGCCTCGTGTAACCTCCCGGGAGGCCAGCACCAACCAGGAGGGACACGGGTCCAATAAACACGTGGCGGCACTAATCTTACCCAGAACCCTGTCCACATTCTCGGGAGTCACAGGATCAAACTCCTCCCAGGTAACATTCTCAAGACCTGCCCTCGTCTCCTCCCGTGGACTCATCCAGTCGGAGTCCAAGCCATCCCGAATCCGAGCGATTTTATCATGCAGGAATTGCACAAAATCCTCAGCGCGACCCTGCAAGGGATCTTCCCGCACTCCCCCCCGGAGGAGGGAGTGGGTCACCCTAAACAAGGCGGCTGGGCAGTTCTCTGCAGATGCGATAAGAGCGGAAAAGTGGTTAGACTTTGCCGCTTTTATCGCCACTAGGTAGGTCTTGATATAAGACCTCACCTGTGTCCGGTCGGAATCGGATTGACTAGTCCTCCAAATGCTCTCTAGGCGTCTTTTCCGACGCTTCATCTCTCTCAGCTCCTCAGAGAACCAAGGAGCCAGTTGAGATCGGCATCGGGTCAGAGGCCGCAAAGGCACGACGCGGTCCAAAGCTCCAGCGGCCGCCCTTTCCCAGGCGGCCACCAGCTCTTCAGTCGAGTCGTGTGTTAGGGTCTCAGGGCACGGCCCAAGCTCCGTCAGGAACCTTTCGGGTTCCATCAGGCGCCTGGGACGGAACCATCTAGTTGGCTCCGTCTCCCTGCGGCGGGGGACGGCGGTAGGAAAGTCTAGTTGGAGGAGCGAATGATCTGTCCATGACAAGGGTTTAATATTTAGGTCCCCTCTACCAAGATCATTCAACCACTGACCAGAGACAAAAATCAGGTCCAGAGTGTGTCCCCCTATGTGAGTTGGGCCTTGAACTAACTGGGTCAGGTCCATGGCCGTCATGGAAGCCATGAACTCCCGAGCCGCCTCTGACGCCTCACCCGCGGATGGAAGGTTGAAATCCCCCATGACGATAAGTGGCAGGGAGCCAGGTACGTAGTCAGCAAACCCATCTGCACCCCATGGCCCCACTTTACACAGAGGGACTCACATCCGGCTATCTGAGGAACAGTGGTCTCCCTCGGACAAAGACTTTCCCTAATAATCACCGCCACTCCCCCACCCCTCCCCTGGGCCCTTGGCTGATGAAATGCACGGAAACCTGGCGGGCACATCTCAACGAGGGGGACCCCCCCCTCCTGGCCCAACCAGGTCTCCGTAATACCTGCCAGGTCCGCACCCCCCTCCGAAATAAGGTCACAAATGAGGGGGGGCTTTATTAACCACCGACCTGGCATTACACAACATCAGCCGCGGACCCAGGGCCTGAGACTCTACACAACCCAGGACACGAGTCACGCATCGGGGGCCGGAGTGCGCAATCGCTCGTAAACAGCGTATGCGCACCCCCGACACTTGATATGGCCCCCTGCATCCGTCATACCTGCCCCTCCCACTCATTATTTCAATTTCACAGCCCTTCCTGTCATCCCCCTGCTTCCTGGTTAAATTCCCTTTCGCGACCCTCCTGCTGCAACTAATCGACCCATCATCCCGCTCAGTCGCTATCTGGACCCCCCCAGGTCCGCTTTTACAACCCCCCCTCCCGGGTCCCCTTAAAAAATTTTTTAAAAATTTACCTAAAAAACCCCTCAACCCCCTCTTCGCTACATGCCATCTCTCGGGGTTCCAAAGCCCGTCATCAAGATAGGCCCTCGATAATGTGGAGGGCCAGGCCTGCGAGAGGGGGGAGTCTCGCAGCGCAAGAAGGTCGGCTTTTTGGAGCATCAACCGAACCAGAGATGGGAAAAAGGCCAGTCCGGGGGTCTATCATAGTCCAAAGGGATAACTGAACATAAAGATCACAAAGTGTCCATTTGTAGAGCTGGACTCCACTGTCCTCTCACGACAGGGAGAAAGTCCAATGTTCTTTTTCTCCAACAGAGGCTAATAGCTAACTGTCCTCTCACGACGGCCGCTCCCGTTACAAGAGGTTAACGGGAACAATGTTCTATCCTCCCGTTGGGATACAAAAATCTCTCAGTTCTTTCAAATGGTGTTCAGTCTCTCCTACCAGCGAGGGCATGAGTGGAACATAGTGGGGGGGGGGAATGTCCAGAGCGTAGTAGTTCGTAAGCCCCTCCCCCCATAAAAGGGGGCGGGAAGGCAGGGGGAAGGAGGGGGGGAAACAATATCCCCAGAGGAGGGTAACATCTCTTCCTCTGCCGATCTATAAGTCCAGGCCTCCTCACTTCGGCTTCTCCTTTCCACTCTCAGCAAACTACCACTGCAGTATTCTGCGGCAGACGTTGCACCGGAGCCAGTGTCACCCCCCCACCCCAGCACCATAACAGATGCATGGGGGGGGGGCAACCAGCGCCGCCAACTGGCCTCCACCGCCAGCACCGCCTTGGCTCTGTTGTTTTGAGTGGGGGGGAGGGGAGGAGGGGGGGCATCGCCTCACGGCCGTTCGCACCGCCACCGGAGCCACCGTCCCCCTCCAGCCCCTCTTCTCCGATGGAAAACAGGACCGCAGCTAGATGACTCTTTGCGGCCACGCCAAGCTGCTCCCACCATCGCTGCTACCGCCGTTCCCGCTGCTGCTGCCGCCGCCATCACCGCCATTGCTTTCTCGGCGCCCTCAGCTGTTCTTCGGTGCCCTCAGCTGTTTTACGGCGCCTTCACCGCCGCCACAACCTCGCGGGGCTCCAGGCAGTTCCACAGCGCCCAGGATGGCCTCACAGCGTCGCCACCGCCGCCGCCGCCGCTACCAACCCTGCGGCGCTCCGCGGCGTCCTCGGCGTCCCCAGCACCCTTCAGGGCCTCTCCCGAACCGCTATCCCCTCGCTCCAACCACGATGTCACAAGGGGAGCAAAAATCCTCCCCAGGTTGGGCAGGGGCTCTCCTCACTGGGGCTCGGGGTCGCAGATGGATTTAGCGACCCTACACCCCCCGAAAAGGCCAAATAGCCCCCATCATCAGACCGGGAGCTCACCCAGCACCGCCATCTTCGAGCATGCGCAAATAAAAATCAAGCAATCCTTCCCTTCCTCCCTCTTCTTTCTCTCTCTGTATTTCTTACTATTTCTCTCTCTCTCTCTCTCTCTCTCTCTCCCCCTCTCTCTCCCCCTTAGTTCAAGATTAATGTTCAGTAATGTTCAGCTTTAAGTCATGTCCTTTTTACATTCAATTTTTATTGGACTGAATGTGGAAACAAAATAATATAAATATAATCATATTCAGTGAAAAATATGATAGTGTTAGAAAGTCATCAATTCTATTTTTAAACCAGATTTGATACACATTATCCACCAGATCAGCATTTTCCCTTCTAAATAGATAAACATAGTGTTCATGGATGGGCAAAAAATCAGAGTGGGAGGAACTTTTGATTTCCTGCAGGCTTCCCCATTTACTTTACCTCTGGGAAGCTGGCAGGAAGCATCAGAAACCACATGACTGGATACTAAAATATAACCTATCATGTTGTTTGTTGTTTTAACCATTTAGTCATGTCCGATTCTTGGTGACTTGGTGACTTTATAGGCAAGTGCTATACAGACAAGAAAAAAAGATTCTTCATCTGTGACTTCTATTATAGAATATGATTCAGGAAAAAAAGTGGCCTAATGCTTTAGTATTTCAAATTCTGGGTTATGATCATAGTAGCACAGATGGATACTTCATTTTGCTAGCGTGTATTGTTTGTCAGTCATCTCAATCTGGAAAAAAATAAAATATTAAATGATTGTCAATATTTTCGGTGTCTTCTACTAATGTGCTGGGTTATGTTTTTCAAATAACAGATTTGGAACAATTAAAATGCTAGAATTGTGTTCTTCAGCTTTTCTGAACATATTTTTCTTTAGTTGAGTTGAAATGATAACTACAGATGGTCAATAATATGTGCCTGGGCAATTATCTGTCTTTTTTTATTAATGATTCTCCACTTAAAACACATGTCTAATATTGCTTTCTATAACAAAATTGTATTTGATTTTTCCAAACTCCCTTTTTGTGCAGCTGAGTTATTTTAATATTTTTTCTTTATTGGTTAACATTTATGAATTGTCTAGCTCTAGAGATCCTGGGCAGGGAAAATAAAACTTATAAATACAGTATTGTATTGTAATAATAATAAATAAGAAAGACAAAAAAGTCTGGATAGTGGATGTGCAATACATGGAGATAGTAGAATAGAAGAAAGAATTGGAGAAAACCATAAAATTCAAATACCTGCAAATAGAAGTTGAAGGACTATGGTAAAAAGAAGCAAAAATATTGCCAATAGTAATAGGTGCCTTGGATGCAATCCAAGTGGGGCAGCACTTGAACACCACTGGAATTGACAAAATCACCATCAGTCAATTGCAAAAGGCAGCTTTATTGTACTTGGAACAGCTTACATCCTGCAATGATACCTCTAATACCATTAAACAATATCTACCTGAGAAGGTTTTTTTCTCTTCTTCCTCCATCACCTCACAAAGTATTCCTGCTTCCTTCTCTCCCCCCCCCCTTTTCTATCTTGTTTGGCTGCATTTTCTCCCTGTCATAAATCCCACCCACCCCCATCTTATTTTCTACCCACTCCCATTCTACCCATTTTGCTGCCTGTTCACTTTGTTGCTCTTTTTTCTATCATCAGCCTTACCTCCTGATCCAGGATATATCCCTCCTCCTTCTACCTGCTCCTTGAATCCATTCTTTTTTCCATCCCAGAATCTGATTTTCTCCTGCTGGTCTCCAGCCATGTATTAATTTTTTAATGATTTCTACTGTTTATATTCATTTATTATTAACATATGGAGAAATTGTCAAGTAATAGATGGCAGCATTTGGAGTAACGTTTAATAAGGCAGTTTATCATAATTCATTTAAATTTGTATTTGTTTGCAAAGGCTTTGCCTATGAAATGAGACCATGACAACTGATGAGGCTACAAAGAAGGAAGGCGAGGTCCAAGCAGCAACTCTTGCTGAACAAGGTGAAGATATAACACCAAATAAAGATCGAGGAGTTCTGAAGGTGAGATTGTAGGAGAAATTAATGTTCTTTTCCAAGCATAACAGTTTGGAAACATCCCAATTCAAATGGGCAGCACACTTTCCCTATCCCATCTCCATTATAATAATGCAGTGCTTGTCTGTAGTAAGTTTAACATAAGCAAAAAAAGTGGGCTATGTATAACACATTTGTACCATTTTGAGTGTTTCCAGAGGAATTAAAAACTAGTTCCTGAAAAATATGTATTTCAGTAACTTTACAGTTCAAATTTAATCTTGTGATAAATGTGAAAAGGGGGATTTAGCTAGATGTAGAAGCCACAATGACATAGAGGACTGCATATGACTTTTCAGTATTTTGTGGTCAAACTACCTGGGCTTTTTAGACCTTTAATTGATATTGTAGTTGAATATAGTGTAAAATAAAAGAACCAGTTTGGATACTACAGCAAAATTGGAAGTTTCTTAATAAATAGCATTTTGTAGCATTCTCTACATTGAATGAAACAACTATCAAATCCCCCATATATTTGAGAGATTCATTTTTATAGTTACTTGTAATGTGTGCTGATGTATTGTTCACCAAGTTTTTGTTTATCATTAAGTTCTTATTATGGATCATGATTGGCCAGGAATTGGACACTCCTTGGAGTAATCTTTGTATTGTGTGTATCAATCCTAAATTGTACAATTAAGAACCAGTTGTGTCATTATAAAGAAGCAAAATTGGAAGTCAAAGAATTTTATGGGATGTGGTCCATATGCACTTATATTCTGATTATAGTTTTTCATCTATTATTGTTTTTCATCTATCTTTTGTGATGAATCGATGCAAATTATGAAATGATAAATCCATGCATTTGGATAATATTGAAGAAAGTTTAGAACTGATCAATTGCTAAACATCTCTTAACTTACCTGTTTTCATATCCTAATTCTAGATTGTGAAGAGACCAGGAAATAAGGATGAATCTCCTATGATTGGAGACAAAGTTTATGTCCATTACAAAGGAAAATTGGCCAATGGAAAAAAGTTCGATTCCAGCCGTGACAGGAATGAGCCATTTATCTTCAGCCTGGGCAAAGGTAAAGAGTGGAAAAGGTGGAGAAAGGTAAAGAGAGCTTTAGGCATATGAATGGGGTTTTTTTTCCCAACAAAATTACAATATATTTGTATATAATCCTGTTTTCAGAAAGACTATAAGAGCAAACAGAGAAAACTTTGAATTAGCAAGTATATGGATCTGTCACTACCAGGCAAATCAGGCACTCTGTATCTTTTTTTCTTCATAATATTGCTATAAAACGCTGACCTTAACTTGCAATGGTATTTTTGGCTGCATTGAAGATGCAAACATTACAAAATGGTTTAACTCTTACAATTACCCATCACAATCTAGAAGACTTGAAAATTATATTTCTGTCATAAGATTAGGGGCCTTTTAGGGGAAAAATTTTTGTATGTGCATTTATAATGTTCAACTTCTTATTTTCTGGAATGAAATTATATACCAGTTTGCTTTTGCTCTAATAGTTCAGATTTGTAGGGTAGATTTTTTTTCAGTAGTTGTGAAAATGGGATATACTGCTGCACCATCACTTCTATAATTCAGAAAGTATGTTGCCATATTTAATTGAAAAAGATGTTTTCTAATGTTTTTGTGCAAGCATGAACTAGTCGTGTATCATTCTTGCAAAACATATATGCTCATTCCCTTCTTTTTCCAGGCAGGGACTAAATTTCCAGTTTACCATCAAGGCTAACACAACACTTGCTTTGTTTGTAAACATTAAGAATTATCAGATGGTGAAATCTTCATCCACCCATTGTTCAGTGGCCAGCTTCTTGTAGATTTATAAATACTTTTAAAGCAAGCCTGGAGTTTTCAGATGTGAATAAAATTTACATGATCAGTGGCCTCATGTGATGTATCTGTTACTGATTATGGGTGGGGAATCAAATGCCTGACCTTTCTTCCTGACATGCTAGTTATATATATATGCTTTTCTGTTTTGTCTCTGCCTTTCCCATCAGTTACAATCTGAAATAGTTTAATAAACAAACATACATTACATGAAACAGAATGTTACTGTTTATTTTGACTGTGGAAAAATACTTTGGCTAGTGACAGTACTATATCTTTTTCATTTGGTTTTTTTTAAGAAGGCGGATCTTACAATTCTGACAGAGTAAGGTTCTCTCTCATGTGAGGAATTTTGCATAGCTGCCAAGCAGCATGATTGCAGAACTGTGAAGGAAGACAAGTTCATTGTTCAACCCAGAGGTGGTATTCAGCAGGTTCTGACCAGTTCTGGAGAACTGGTAGTGGAAATTTTGAGTAGTTCGGAGAACCGGTAAATACCACTTCTGACTGGCCCCGCCTCCATCTATTCTCTGCCTCCAGAGTACCAGCTGATTGGGAGGAAATGGGGATTTTGCAGTAACCTTCCCCTGGAGTGGGGAGGGAATGAGATTTTACAGTATCCTTCTCCTGCCACGCCCACCAAGCCAAGCCAAGCCACGCCATGCCCACCAAGCCATGCCCACAGAACCAGTAGTAAAAAATTTTGAATCCCACCACTGGTTCAACCTATGTATAAAGCTGCTTTACAATGATTTTTGTCAAATGGCCCTCTAAGCATCGGAGCACATTTAGCTGTTATTTGAATAAAATCAACTGCCTAAAGTCTTTCTCAGGATTTGTTTTGACCTGTAGTACTTCTAGAGATTTTCATCAGACCTTCTACTGTTAATGTACCTAACTGAAAATGTGTTCGACAATAGAAAGAAACAAACATTTTAAAGAAATACGTTCAAATATTTCTTAAATTTTAAGAGTAAAACAGTAGGTTTTAAAAGTAGAATGGATGGGATGTTTATCAGCTACAATGGTTTCCACTATCAGAATGGAAAGAGACAATTTATTTCAGCCTGTCATTCATTCGTTCATTAACAAAACCTGCTCTGGAGCAGATTTTGAACATGGAAGGAGAACCTGAGCAAAAAAAGAGGACGGCATCCTGCTATTTCTATTCATGTGAAAATGATTCTGCCCTAATTCCTGGACACTGGGGATGCTTTCAGATTATCAGGTTGCAGTTCCATTGAAGTCTTCCTCTTTCTTTTTCTGATGTGTCAAAGTGTAATAAAACAACATAGTTATTAATTGTGGGTTTTTTTTTAAAAAAAATCTGCTTAAGCACTATAAGAAAACTTTAGCTGTGGTAGGTTTTCATTTTTTTTAAAAAAATAATATTCAGGTAAATAGTAAGGTACATCTGTAACAATAAACACAAACACTAACAAATCTCTTGTAACAGCATAAGTTTTTGTCGTTTATAATTGGCAATGTATATAACCTTTTGACTGATTTTTTTTGCCTATTAAGTTTAAACAAAAGCAGTAATACTAAGTTCTACATTCTTTAATTTTAAAGCCATTTTTATGTGCGATTATGTCCTGTGAAGAAGTCTCCATCAGTAGATAATTCAAAAGTATTTAAGCTGAATTTCTTTTAACTGCAATGAGATCTTTGATTTTGGCAAACATACAAAGGCTTGATAAAAGTTGTATATTTATTATGTACTTGACTTTCTAGCATATACATTTTGTAATATACATTTCTGCCTTAGAAAGTGGATGGATTACCATTCTCCAGTGGTGGAATTCCATTGAGCCATGAAACTATATTTAAAATTTACATTATAAGATTGGCAGTTTTTACACAAGTTTAGTTTTGTATTTTAAATCATTTAATCATTGCTGGTTCATTACAAAACATATTTTCCTATATTTGGATGAAGTAGGGTACTGATTTCATAAGCAAAGGTCATATATATGGGATAAGGGAATGATCTTGAGGGATAGTAGAAAGAGCCATTACCAAATCAGTGGTCAGGTAAAATAAAGCTGACTCCAGGGTAGATTTGTAGCCTGAGAAAATGACTCAGACAAGACACCCAAGTTCTGACAAGTGGGAGGGCGGGGGCGGGGGGGGGGGGGCTCATTCAGACTGGCAAGATTCTGTTACTATATCCTTATAATGAAAGTTTTATTGGCCTGTATACCTTTCGTTTCATAGTCTGCTCTACCTTGAAGTGCTGACACCATGTGCCAGCATGGTGTCACATGCTTAAAGGAAAGATGAACATTTGAAATTAAGAGCTGATCTGCTCTTATCACTTCTTGCTTGGCCCAGTTAGAATAGAGATTACCCACCCCTTGGTAAGGCAAAAATAGATCACATTGTTTTTAGCCATTTTAGGCTCCTAGGAAGGTGACCTTACCTGACTTCCTCTGCTTTCCATCAAAAGTAATTGTTTTTCTCCCCTGCAATAAGCCTAACAGCCTATTCTTTTTACTGTGCTTCACTTTGACTTACACAAATGCCTCTTTTGCAATTGGCTGTCCTTTATTCTGATGGGCACTATACCCTCCTCCACCCCCACCTCTGCCTGCCATTTTGTACTGGGCTGCCTGCCAAGAAATGCCTTTTCTTCAGGTTCAGTAGTAGAACATTGAAATGTTGGCTGTGCCTTTTTAAAAAAAATACTATTGTTTGAACAGGTTTAGCAGAGGACCAGTGCAATGCCAAGTTTGTTTTTATTTTTTCTTTCAACTAGGCAGAATTGACAAGAATTCTGCCAAGTATCCTTTTCTAGCCTAAGTAATAGAAGTGTAAAACTGGGACAGGCAAGGGGGGCCTTCACCTGTCCTCAAAAGCCATGCCTAGAGAAGGAAAAGTAATGACACTTGCTTTCATGGCATGGGTGAGAGCAGAAAGAAGGAGGAAATACCTAATCAGAGATCACATTGACCATAGTCTGGATAGAATATGTGTAGTGAGGACAGAACAGAATACGTGGATGTCATTGTGACCAAAGTGCAGGAAGGAGTTGAAACCCTGAAAAACACTTCCTAAATTATCTTCCTTTCCAGCCACTTTATACATGGAAGACAAGCAGCTGTAGGCTTCAGTGCAGAAAAGCTTCTGCAGATCATGCTAAGCTCTAGTATAGTGTAAAGTCTGAATTGGATGATTGTGCAGAACTACCTTGCTGAATTGAGTGCCACTTCAATAAAGCCCTTTCCAGTTTATTTAAACTGTCAGATAAAAAAGTCACTGAGACATACAGTTTAAAGCTTAATACAGTGCCCTATTTTGTCATTTGACCATGACATTGGTATATTTCTAGATGATTCAAGAAAAGCTTACTGAACAAAATTATTAAATTGAAATTTTCTTTATGTTAGGTCAGGTTATCAAAGCATGGGATATTGGGGTCGCCACCATGAAAAGAGGAGAGATCTGCCACTTGCTATGTAGGCCAGAATATGCATATGGCTCTGCTGGTAGTGTCCCAAAGATCCCCTCAAATGCAACCCTCTTTTTTGAGGTAAGTTTATGAAAAAAAAATTTTTGTTTATTTATTACAGGTATTCAAATTCCATGGTTCTAAAGGAACTGCAATAAAATATAAATGTATAAAAACTATGTAAATTAAGCTTTTATATCATTAATATATCTATTTGCTAAAATAGTTAATATGGGAGCAGTGAACGATAAAACCAATAATATTCCAATAAGACATTTGTATTTTTTATTCTGGAAAAATATATTTGTAGAAGGTAATCATAAATATATTTTTAAAAAGTAAAAGTCTGTAGGCAATCCAGTTTTACACATAAGATATGGCATGAAAAGGGGGAAGCAATGCTTAATCATTTTTGCAAATGAGAGAAGATTGGGTGGGGTAGCTAATACTCTGGAAGAAATAAATAAAAATAAAAATAATCTTGAAAAGTGGGGTAAGTTGTTTGAAAATAACAGTATCAAATATGAGAGACATGCAAAATACTTAAGGAAACAAAAATCAAGTGCAGAGATATAGAATGCCAAATGCTTGCCTTGATAACAGTACTTGCAAAAATGAACTTGGCACAATAGCTGATTGCAGGTTGAATATGAGCCAGTAGTGTGATATGGCTGCAAGGAAGGCAAATGCATTTTTAGGTTGCATAAACAGAAGTATAATTTCTGAAATGAAATGGGTGCTTTAAAAAATGGAGAAACAGAAAACTGATTTTTTCATTCAGTGGATAAAACAGTAATTTGAACCAGTTATTCGTGCTAGGTAGCTTTAAATCTACAGAACTTCTGGTAAAATTTTCATATAATTACTACTTTGTAAAGCATAATCCTATAACTAAAGATATAAAAAAATTATCTTTCTATCCATATAAATCTTTTAAATATTGCTAACAAGTGAATAAAAACCTGATCTGTTCTTATCTTTCAAACTTTGTAGCATAAAAAACACTAGCCACAAAATTATTTGCAGTCCACAAAACGTTTCCAAAATTGTTGAAAGGGTTGCCAATAAAAATATGTTTCCTTCACAGGAATAAACATTATGAGTTTCTTATCTTGCATTAGTCTTGTGATTTTTTTTAATTTAACTATAACATTTCTGTTAATGTCCTATAAAAACTATGAGACAAATTTACAGTAGTGGGAAGTTTAATTGAGTGACCTAAAATATATCCCCAACTACTCTGTGTTAGAATTGTGAGCTGCTTAGTTATCTTTTACAGTCTGGCAATGACAATGCTTCAAACATCATGTTGCAGGGGTAAAATTGTATCAGGCTTGAAAAGGATCATGCTCTTGACACATCAAATAACGTATGGTATATGTTGCAAATATTATCATTTAAATGCTGTTAGGCAACCAAATCATAACCAAACCAACCACAACCAACCCTAATCACAACCAAACCAAAAATTAGGGACTCCAAATCATAATCAGACTGAGAAAGGATGTGGAAGCCTATGCCTGAAGCTGCATTGCTCAGAGCCTGAGGAATGCACTGATTTTGCTCAGAACCCTGGGAAAGGCTTAGTGAATAAAGAATCAGTGAAATATGTGCAATTTTTTTTTTAAAAAAAAGTTAAAATAAACACCTTTAAATCAACAGTTTGATTTTCTCAGCAACAATATGGAAGTGATTTTCAATTGTTTTTAATGTGGTGGTTCTATACTATAGCCTTGAATTTTTTTTGGTAGCTCCTCTAATATTTTAAGACCAGTCAGGTTTGACTAGGTGCTGATATTTAGCTGGGCTTATTACAAAAGAAAAAGAAAAATCATCCTAAATTTGGGAGAAAAATGTTTCAAGATGAGAGTGACTTCACTTTGACACATCATTGGCTCTAATAAAGTCTGGTATAATGCTGATTCCCATGATTACTCTGGTTATATTGCCTGATAAACCTGTCAGAATATTGCTACTGAAAAGATGCAACAGTTGAACTAAATACTTTATATATCCCTTTTCTTATAAATATAGAGGAAAGTAGACTCGCTGGAAGAGTCATCATTTAACTTTGTCTTTAGATATTAGATATCTGTGTTTTATCAATATGCGAAGTTGCATTATTTAAAGTTTGAGCTATTTGTTTGTTCATCTAGATTGAATTGCTTGATTTCAAAGGGGAGGATTTATTTGATAATGGAGGCATCATTCGTAGAATCAAGCAAAAAGGTGAAGGATATTCTAACCCCAATGAAGGAGCAGCTGTTCAGAGTGAGTATCCTCTTCAGCCTATATAAAATACTGAGGTCATTGCACAGAACAGTTGTACTGTCTTATTAAAGTACATTATAATAGTAAAAGTAGAATCCATGGCAATATTGTTCTTTCTCTCTCTGTGTGTCTTCTCCCCCCACCATAATATATGAATAATATTTCTGATTTGTGATTCTTTTTTCCTCTGTGTATATGTGTTAAAATATTAAAAAGAGATTATCTGTTGAGGCAAAAGTTTGCTGATATGACATGCTAGTTACGGTAATAATAATATTGTGTTGCAAGTTCTCTCTTCCTGTGGTTTTGAATACAACTCTACACTATATCAAACCTAAATTCTACAATGGTCTCTACAGGAGACTAAGCATATACTGGCAAGTTACATATATTCTGAATTTTTTTAGACTAAATATGAATTCCTCAGAAAATAAGATTCTAATATTGCAAATGCTATTCTCACACTCTTATCATTGCCACCTTTATGGCTTTTTGGTTTCTTTATGATTATGATTGCAAGATTACTATAATTTAATATGTTTTGTTCCTGATTATATAATCCAGGCCATAAGTCATTGTAGACATATTTGTAGGTATCTTAAATTGTTTGTTTGTCTATTCTTTGGAAATGTCCAATAACCACATTTCTTTGGGCAGCATGCAATTCCAATTACACATAAGAAAAATGTTTTTTTTTTAAAAAATATATAAACCAATAAAAAGCACAGGACAGCTGTCTGTTACTATTTTCCATTAATTGAGAGAACAACTACCTCATCTCCCTCGTCTTGCTTTATTACTGATGAGGCATGGGAAATAGATGCTAAAGTCAATTGAATCATATACTAAAAGATAAGATCCAGGCAGAGTAGTGGAGATTAGTCTAATTTCCTAACACACTTTTTTTTTATCAAGCTGGAGTTTCCCAGGGCTTCTCTTCTCCCGCTTGTGAGGGAAAAAAATCGGGAAAATAAAGCCTGCCTTTTTATAAACTTGCTCTCTAAATTATAAAGAATATTATTCACATGAGGAAGAATAATATTCTACTGATACTGTAGGGTAGGGTTCTTCATTCTTTATGCTAGAACATCTAGATGGCATGTGATATTCAACAGGCTTCATACCTGTAGGATCAGCGTGTACAGGCTGTTTGTCCATTACACTCACCACACTATGCTTCTAATACTGAATCCCAGTTTCTGACAAACATATTCTTGCCAGATGAAGGTGTCGTAGTTGTCCATTTCCCAAGGAGTTTGCCTATTTTCAAGGATAATTTTGTGTTCCCTTAGAGTGGTATCCTTTTTCTGTAACAGCAGTAGAACTGTCAGATTGAATGTGGGATGCTTCCATCACATCTTTATCCTTTTTCACTGTATTTACACTTTATTTCTGTATCTTAGTTTCTCCTGATCAACCCCCTGGAGCTTATTATATGTGCACAGACCTACAACTGGCAAGGCATTGTGTTTCCACATCCTTGCTTGCTTTCTGCTTTTTTTTTTTTTTTAAAAAAAACAACAATTTATCTTGGAAACAAATAGGTGATGTTGATTGCCTGTCCTCCATGCACTGTTCCCCTTGGCTTCCTTCTCTGATCATGTAGGCTGTTATCCCTGTAAGACTGGAGTTTTATTTGTGCCTATTCTGATTCCCTGTTTGTTCTGTCATTCATTTCTCGGGCTTGCCCATTCAATACTATTAAGTAGTATTGTTTCCACATCTTCTGACCTTAGATTGTATCTGTATTGTCAAAAATTATGATAACAACCCTAAAATAAATTGTGAGTGGCATGGAAATAAGATGCTCCAAAGGAAGTAAATATATTGTGCCTGTGAGCCTGGGAAATCCAGAGTGGGATGAAGCCCATTAAATGGCTTATTTGGCTGTGTGTTGTTGCCCAGGGTAGGGGATTTTTATTATTTCTATTTGTTTTCTATACTATGTTATTATTGTTTGTAAGCCACCTAGAGTCACTGTGAGCAAGTAGATGGCTATATAAAATTTCTAAATAAATATTATTTATTTAGAAATAATATTTCTGTTATTATCCTCTATTCTAGGAGACAAAAGTCTTTGGATTGAGAACCCATTTCAGATTTCTTGTCAATTATAGCGAAGTGGAAATGTTTTGGTTGATTTAATATGAATATATAGTAGGTTGGCGGAAAACCGGAAAAGTAGTTCTGACTGTACTTTGAAGACAAGCGGACGATTAAACTTGCACAACAATCATTAACTGACAGTGTTTTTGTTGTTGTAGTAAAACCCAGCATTAGCTAGGAAGCTAATTCAAAGACTCCTGGCGTTACTATAATTAGGACATACATGTAGTTCTGTTAAAATCTTCGGGTAGGATTTATGAAGACAGTCTTATTAACTTGAATGATAGGGCATATTTCACTGCTATGTTTCCTAAAACACAGACTGTGCTTGGATATTTGCATTTCAAGTTACTATGCAGCCCTCTGCTGTTTTAATCAAGTTGTACAAATTGCTGTCAGTGCACAGAGTTCATGTGCCAGCCACATTAAGAACACAATGTTCTGTGCTCTTCAAAACAAAATTGCTCTAGGCACAGAGAGAACAATAAGTCAACTCAACAGCTGAACTGATGTTCCCTAGTCTGGCTGGAATTTCTTACTGTGCAATCCAAGTGTAATTCAACCCAAGTGATCTCTTTCAGATAGTATTTAAGTAAGCTTTGATAATCATGTTATGGAAGTATTTCCTGTACTATATTTATGCAAAATCATTCTATCAATGAGTGAATTTAGTCGATCAAGTTTGTTGGCACAGAACAGAATGGGACCTCCCCAAACTAGTATATATCTAATATTATATTTATATATGAACTAATTATTTTGAAATTTGTACATTACACTTTTTTCTAGCCACCATCCCCCATCCCCCACACCTCATACCTCCTGATAAAGATACTGAGTAAAAATTATAAAGTTAACAAAACATTGCAAGAACCCATTTTATTATCTGGAAAAGGAGCTTCAAAGTTTACACTAAATGCCAAAGAATGGAACTTCTATGTTTTGCTACTACTTTTTAAATTAAGATGACATTTTATTGCCCAGTTACAGTTATACAAAATATTTTGCTTTTGCTCTTAATTTCAATGGACAGCTCGCATAAATTCTACAAAAACAATAATATACGGTGATACTTTACATCAGGAAAATTGTTGTACATAATATATACTCAAAACTATACCAGGAAAATAAAAATGTCTTTAAAATAATAGAATCTTTGGAAACTCCTTCACAGCTATGAGTAGATTCTGTGTTGATGCTAACCCAATAATGCTGCCTAAGAGTACAGGGAGATAATTAATTTAGATACATGTCTACTAGTTAAAAGTATCGTAACACATAAGGTGATGCCATCATATTTTTGACTCCTTTGCTCCAGTGATAACAGCCACTAACAACTTCACTACTGCAAATCTTCTGTGTATCACTGTAGACAGGTTTCATGTTCTCTCAGGCCACTCATAACATACTTTAGGGAAATTACACAATACAACACCTAAATATTGTCTCAGATAGGATACTGAGAAAGGAGATTCACATTGCTCAAGAAAAGGAAAATTCTGTTTGGATTTCCTTTTGTTTGTTTTTCCAAAAGACAAACAATTGTTACAAGCAATTGGAGAGTCATAGGACAGGACTTGGTAAGTGAAAAGCATACCTCCAAGAATCTTTAAGTTTTTGTGGCAAAAAGTGTTGTTTCTCAAACATAAAGAGAGTTCCTAGAATTTAGAGCCACATTGCAATCCTCTCTTTATTATATTACCAAACAGTATATAGATAATAGTGAATTAGATGGACATGCTTTTTGCTCTGTTTTTCCATCCAGAAAAATATACTTGTCTATTGATATACAGTAGTATAAGAGATTGCACTCAAGAGATTGTCAAATAGAAAGAAAAATGTAAGATGTAGAATGTGTATTAATAATAATGGAATGAAGCTCACATTTCAAAAGGACTTGAGCTCTTTGTTTATGTGAACAAAATCTCTGGTGGAAAGTGGTTTTGAATTCCCATCCAATTTCATTTTATAGCATTGTATGCTAAGTTTCTGGCATCTTGCTACATTTCAATTTTTTCATGATATGCATACTTGATGATCCACAGATACCTAAAATTCGTAATGTTGGCTTCTAGTGCAAAAGGCTTTTAAGAAGGAGAAGGTTGTTTGGTTTTATATTTGTTTTATATTTGCATTGGCAATTTTTTTTATTAGAACACAAAATAATTACTTCAGTATGAGAAGGCCAAGATTTAGAAATTACAAGGAAGAAGCAAAGAATTACTAGGGTTCAACTAATTTTTATACGGAATACAAATACAAGAAATTGTAGTGCCTTAAAGACAAATAAAAGTATTGTATTATGAATGTTCCTAGACTAGAAACTTTTTCATGAAATGCCTAAAGCATTTCTTAAGCTAGCAAAGTTGTCAGGGAAAGGTTGGCCATTGTAAGTAATGTAAACAAAGATGTAAAATGACAAAATGCTCAGTGTATGTAAAATTAATCCATGGACCACTCAAATAGTAATGTTAAAGATAAGGAAACATTCTGACATTGGTAAACTAAAGAACAGAGTAAAATTCCATCACTTAAATTCAAACCATGCTGATTGACCTGAATCTTTTACTTATGTGAGATAACTGTCTTGAGCATTCCTTGGTTGAAGAGTATGGAATTCACTGTGAATACAAACGTTACATTGCACAATGGGCAATTGAACAATCTTTTGATAATATGCTAGGCATTTAGAACAGTGTTGCCTGAATACAATTCTAGATTTGTTTGCAGATTCTAGTCTATAGACTAATCTCTAGTTTAGACTTCATATGTGACCTGGTTTTGGTGATAAATTAAAGCAAAATTTGTGCAGAGATAGGCAATTGGTGTCTTGGGTTCTAGAATGTTCCCAGGCATCTCTTCTGATTTCCATCACATCTCTGTCTATGTTGCTTACTAAATGATTTTTAGAGATATGGTATTATATTGTATACCACCCAGAGCCCTTTGAGGGAGATGGATGGTTAAGATATATGAAATATAAATAAATAAATGCTGCCAAAATAAGTAACTCATTCAATTATATCTATTTGTGCCCATCAAGATCCAATAGAATGGTAGAATGCATCCTATATTCTCAGGTGAGGCAGGACATACTTCCTATTTTGGTAAATGATTTTTTTATGATGAGCCAAGGCAGCCATTTTATGGATAAGTAAGTCTCCTATAGTGGCCTGACCTTGAATGTGCCCATTATATGATTGCAAGATTCCTTATGTACTTCCATTGTAGAACACACTGTAAATTAATAATTACTATATTTTCTTGATGTAGGCTTTAAGCTCTGTTGACAATCTGCCATGCCAGTGTGCCATTGGGCTTTTCCTTTTGCAGTCATTGAGAGACATCTTGCCCTTCTGTATAGCCAATTACTGGCTTAGAATGAATACATAATTCATGTTATTTGAGTAATTTAAAACTCCCAATTTGGGGATTGATGGATTATACCGAATGCTTTGGAGATTGCAAAAGAGGATGGAAAGGGTTAGTGAGAGAGGTCATGCCCAGTCAGTCATTCTCACACACATATAAATGCCAGTTCCTACATATGCGTATTCATATACATAACTTCTGTCAACAACAATCTGGCTTAGCTTCCCTATTTGGATGCCTTCCAGTTATTATTATTATTCTTTTTTTGGCAACATAACAGAAGTATTTTACAACTGCCTTCTTCCATGAATTGTTTTCGACTTCCAGTCTAGCCTATGGCCTTGATGTTTCCATGATAGTTTATAATCAGTTTCTAATCAGGTCTAACCCTCCTTAGCTTTAATGATCAGTGAACACCAGAATTCTCAACCATTTAATTCCTTGTTACTAACCTTATAACTTTGTTTTATATCTAGGATCATATTTATGTGGGTTGGTATTCTTAGAGCATTCTACAACTTAATATCACTTTATCTACCTTTGAGAGAAAAAAATCTCGCATACCTATTCTTTCATGTTACTTAGCAGATGTAATTGTAAAGATTTTGCATTTGTTTTTCTTTTATCCTGACTATACATGGACCTTCATAGTGATATTTTAGGCAGCATGTATACATATTCTCTTTTTCTTTCATGAGCTATAATGCAAAGGGAATTATTCCATTAAAATCTGCACATAGCTTTCTTTAAGAACTGAAATCTTGTCGTTTGTTGTTGTTCCATTACAAAATAACAAAACAGAAACAGAAGCTATTCTGTGGCCAGGGGAGCTTTTTAACTGATACACCAGTTGCGTCCCTTTCTGGACCGGGATGCCCTGCGCACGGTCACTCATGCCCTCGTCCCGTCCCGGCTGGACTACTGTAACACTCTCTACATGGGGCTCCCCTTGAAGAGCGCTCGGAGGCTCCAACTGGTCCAGAATGCGTGCGGGTGGTTATGGGCGCACCCACATAACACCCCTACTGCGCGAGCTGCACTGGCTCCCGGTGGTCTTCCGGGTGCGATTCAAGGTGTTGGTCACCACCTTTAAAGCGCTCCATGGCTTAGGACCGGGGTACATACAAGACCGCCTTCTGCCAGCAACAGTCTCCCACCGGCCAATACGCTCCCACAGAGAGGGCTCCTCAGGGTGCCATCGGCCAAACAATGCCGACTGGCAACACCCAGGGGGAAAGCCTCCTCTGTGGGGGCACCAGCTCTCTGGAATGAGCTGCCCCTAGAGGTTTGTCTCATCCCCGACCTGCGTACCTTTCGCCGCGCCCTGAAGACCCTTTTGTTCCAACAAGCCGGGCTGGCCTAATACAAATTTTATAATGGGTGTATGTTTGTTTTAATCTGTGGGCCAAATTTTTATATATTCGATTTTAAATTGTTTTAAATTTTGTAAATTTATATGTGTTTTAATATGACTGTGCACCGCCCTGAGTCCTCCGGGAGAAGGGTGGTATAGAAGTCCAATAAACATAAACATATTTATAAATTGTAATATCAATCTATAGTACTTATAATAAAGTAAACAATCGGTGACTTGTTCACAACATTGATAGAACAGAGACATAATACTCTGCCTAGCAACAAAGATAAAGCTGTCTGGCTCTTCCTTTTGAAGCAAATTACTCCTCTCAGTTCTTGCTCCTATCTAAATTCACCATGTTCTCCCCAGAGTACCAAAGAAATTATATCCTGCCAATGTAATGCAGTGCCATTTGGCAGCTTTTTGTGTTCGGGCAGAATGTTAGTAGCTTTTGCAGCATTGAATTCTAGTCTGGGTTCAAACTCAGGCAGGATTTTGCTGCCTGATACTGAGAGCTGCCATCTTCACATCATTGCCTCAGAGAACTGTCCACAATATGAGTAAACCTGTCTTCAGTTCTGTAGGCTAAGAACAGTTGCCTCTAGACGAGATGTGTGGCACATAAATGTAATAAATAAATAAGTAAATAAAATTTAGGGTTTTTTTTTTAAAAAAAAGTTAACATCAATCAGTTTAAGCATGGACTTGTTTTAGGAATAGGGAAAAGTCAAAAACAATGTGATTTTGAAGTTTGTTTTGGGACCAAGTTCTTCTGTTATGCCAGCTATGGTGAAGATAAGACTGCCAACAAATAATGTGTTTTGATCATGCTGTTCAATGCATATTGAAATGTTGGTACTGCCTTACATTCCATAACATTTCTCTGTCTCCCATACAGTTCAATTGAAAGGGTTTTGTGATGGCAGAATGTTTGATTGTAGAGATGTAGCGTTCACTGTTGGAGAAGGGGAAGACCATGACATTCCCATTGGAATTGACAAAGCTCTGGAGAAGATGCAAAGGGGAGAACACTGTATCTTGCATATAGGAACACAGTAAGAAATGTGAAGAAATGTGTCTGTTCTCTCTCCTCCCCCCCCCCATTTACTTATTTATTTGGTGTCTTTAGCTCAAGTCTTGGCTTCCAGTATCCACCTGGAGAAGCCTATACAGGGTGGGGTTTTTTGCAAAATTTTTGAAATTGTGTGTAGATAGAATTAAGCCATTATTTCCAATATTCTTACCATTTGCATATCCACTGTTTAATGTAATTTCAAGATTTTGAAAAACATTAAAGGATAACAATTGCATGAAAAATTGAAGAGAATGCACAATATATAATTGCATCCAGTCTGAATACAAAGTGAAAACATTAAGTCCAGTATAGTATATAAGTGTTTTGCCCCAAATGAGCTACTCAGACATTGGTTTCCTAGGCAACCCATGTTTTGTCTCCAGGACCTGATATGTAGCTAACCAATTATCTCCCTGTGAGTGTAAATATCCAGAATGCTGAATAATGTGCCTTATCCTGAGTCATTTCTGTTATTATTTTTTCCCATGCTTTGTTTTAGATATGGGTTTGGTGAAGCTGGAAAGCCTGTATTTGGCATAGAACCAAATGCTGAACTTGTATATGAAGTTACATTGAAAAGCTTTGAAAAGGTGAGAATGGAATTTCTTCAAATAACAAACCATCCTGTACACATTGGATGTTTACCCAGAGGAACTTTTCTACAGTGAATACATTTAAGAAGATCCATTTCCAGCTCCATCCGGCACGTTTGTCACAAAAGTTGGTAAAGATATGTCAGCTAGGATCACAGTGTTCTTGTGTGTGTTTTATTGTTTTGGGTGGGGTCCAAGACTTGTCCTAGGCTTGTTCCTTTTGTACTTCTTTTTCTGGTTGTAGAAAAAAAAAAACATGTCCTGCCAAACAGTACTGAAAGGAGGGCAGGGCAAAATTGCTGAACAGGCTGTGCCCTTTTTAGGGTGATGGAGAATGTACCATCTCTGTAAAGTACAGGGAAGGAACAAGATGTACATAAGGTGGAGCATTGATGCCAATCTATAATGGGAAATGTTAACAGGAAGGAAACTTAAATGAAAGAAATCTGTCTACTCTCAGGAGGATTGTATAGACTTCTTTCATGATTCTGGGTTATCCTTTCATATTTTTTAACTCCTCTGTCTTCAGGACAGATTTAAGTGGAGCTGAATATATTTTGGACTGGAAAGAAAATATCAGTGATATCAATATGGGGCTAGTTCAAATTTCACTCTGCCTTAAGTTCTAAAGCCAAATATAAATTTTTAATTGAAAATTTTGAATATTTTTATATATAATAATTTCATTGCTTGCTATTAACTTTTGCAGTGGTTTTAAAAAGACTCCTCATTGGGATTAAGTAATACTAAATTTGAAATTAGCAAGAGTCAACAAATCTTATTATGAAGTATAGTTTAGTTTTACAGCATTACATCACTTTCTGGTATTTGATTATTGTTATAAATACTTGGTTATAGGCCAAAGAATCTTGGGAGATGGACACCAAAGAGAAACTAGAACAGGCTGCCGTTGTCAAAGAAAAAGGAACTGTATATTTTAAGGTATGTGTCAGCATTCTAGCAATGCTAACATTAAAAAACTTGTCTCCTATTGATAAGCTTCTGTAGTTTTTTGCTCAGAGAATCTCACCTTCTTAACATTTGTGTTTACCTTTCAGTGATATACAGCTTTCTTAAAAGTAGAACTGTCTCTAAGCATTGATTTGGAGAGCTTCTGAGGAGTTGATATCTAGTAAATGTGGATCTGTCATAATGTAGCCAAAATAGGGGCATTTGACGTTACAGCTTTCTTGTGTTAAAATTCTTAACTGCAGCTTGCCTACTTCTTTCCTATTGAAATGTTCCCTTTTCCCCTCATTCTTCTCTTACTGATTGTTCAAATTATAACCGACATTTAAGAAATAAATATGTTCCACTTTTCAACGTAATACTCCTCTTTAACCTCATTTAATCTTATTCTTAGGAAGGCAAGTACTTGCAAGCAGTAATTCAGTATGGGAAGATTGTATCCTGGTTAGAAATGGAATATGGCTTATCAGAAAGGGAATCTAAAGCTTCAGAATCTTTATTGTTGGCAGCCTTCCTCAACCTTGCTATGTGCTACTTAAAGCTACGGGAATACACTACAGCAATTGAGAACTGCAATAAGGTAAAAACACATCTATCCTTGTGGAGTTGGGGAAGCACTGGTGATGTTTGATTTCAGTATTTTCTCAATCTTTTTAATTTTCTCCAGATAATTAAATATACTAGAAATAAGTAAAAAAAAAGCTTTACAAAGCAAATAGATACATATTTCTATATCTAATAAATATAGAAAAGTTGACAAGTTCTTAAAGTTCTTGGATAATTATTTGTATTATATAATTAAAATACAAAATAAAATAATTTTGAAGCATTTTGGGAGCTAAAGGCAACTTTATAATTTATTTTTATACATTTGCATTATATAATTTTATATAAAATTTAATATAATGTTTAATATAGATTTGTGTCAGCCTTGGGAGGTAGTTCAGACAAGACACCCAGAAATACTAACTCTGACTTTATTGTAAGGGTACATTGACAAAATATATCTCTCACCCCTCATCTTTACAGTCCAAGAAACTAGAGAGGTCCCTTCTGAGATATTTATCAAGTCCCCATTTCTTCTGCAGACTCAGCTGACAGTTGTCTAGTCTGTGGTTTTTCCTCCTCTCCCCCAAGGTCATTTCCACATATCATTACAGATTGTTATTGCATTGCCCATCAGTTTTTTTTCTGTAGACTCAGATGCTTGAATTGTTCCTTAGAGGACTTAATTTCCAGAGCTTACGTCATCTTGGTAGATCTCTGCTGAACTTACTTCAGTTCCTCACTGTCCTTTTTGCTAATCAGAACGGGAGACAGTACTTCAAATGGGGCTGACCTAAGCAGATTTGAATGGAACAGTTGCTTCCTATGATGTAGCCTGTGTTCCCATTAGCACATTCCAAGATAGCATTTGCCATATTGCAGATGCATTACCCTGTTGGGTTCGTATTTAACTTGTGACTGACAAGGACACTCATATACTACTGCTAAGTCAAATCTCCCACATGTTGTAGAAGTGCTTTGTATTTTTCCTACTCAGACACAAAACTTTAAATTTCTCTTCGCTAAATTCTATCCTATTCATACCAGTCTTGTGCTGAAGGCTTACAGTAGATACTTTTTAAACTTCTCTTTAATCTAAATCAGGGCTGTCAAATTTGTGGCCGCAGGCCAGCTGCATCATGCGCTGGCCATGCCCATGCCCGGTTTAGCGAAGAGGAAAAAAGTTGTGATACGTCACATGACAACATCATGACGATGTGAGTTTGACACCCCTGATCTAAATTAGCCACCTCACCCAGTCCTTTCTCATTTGGATAGTTTGTGAATGTCCCAATTCCTTCATCCAAGTCACTGATTAAAATGTTTGTTTGTTTTAAAAAAAAAAAAAAAACTTTTTAAAAAAAAAATGTTGATAAAACTCGTGGCTGACTTTTGTATCATTTCTCTGAACAGTGTATTAAATATCTTGATTTTTGTTCAGTATTGTTTTTCACCATTACATGCTTAAAGCTTTTTCTCCCAAGATATTCCTCAAGCATACAGATTTCTGAATATAGTACAGCTAGAACAATGTGTTAAAAGTGAGACAGAACATTTATGTTACTGAGTTAATTATATAAAAGAAAGGCATGTGTTTTTGGACAACACTATAAATATCTGGGCTTTATGAGTCATCATATAAACTTTGCATGTAAGTTTTCTGTTGAGCCTCCATTTGGAAGTTTTAAACATTATATCCATTTACATTTAGTCATAGTATCATATTACTATTTCTAAAATATTTCATTTGTAGCTGTACAGGTCTGTGCTCTACAATATCTAAATATCCAGTCCTTGGAGCAAAAATATCCATTTTGAAGATTAGTGTAAGAGATTTTTCATAATTGTAATGACAGAATATTTGAGAGACAGATTGCTGTGATACATTTTTAAATACTTTGCTTTTACAGTAATATTGTTCTTATTTCTATAGAAGTATATGTGGCATTGTAAAACAATCTGGTAAAAACATTCTGCTTCTGAATTTTGGTTTCTGTTTTTGATAATTAATACTGTAACATTTAGCATATGCAGTATGAAGCTTTAGTTTTACTTTCCTATTTTAAAAATAGCTGAGGTTCATAGTTTTGTTACTGGCATTAGTAACCATGTCGTTTATTATGAGGAATTTTCCCACCTTTAATTTATGTTAATTATAAGAATGTTTGTTTACAGGCATTAGCACTGGATCAAGCCAATGAAAAGGGCTTGTACCGAAGAGGAGAGGCAAGACTGCTCATGAATGAATTTGAGTTGGCAAAATGTGACTTTCAGAGAGTGCTAGAAGTGAATCCACAGAATAAGGCAGCCAAGTCACAAATTACCATGTGTCAGAAGAAAACAAAGGAGCACAATGAACGGGACCGAAAGATATATGCCAACATGTTCAAGAAATTTGCAGAAAGAGATGCAAAGGTTTGCACCTTGCCAGTATGGCCCCCTTCCAATCATTGTTAAATTACAGGGTTTCTTATGGAATTGTACAGAAGTATTGTAATAATACAATTTCCTTTGTTTGATGCATATAAAATGTCAAGCTTCAGTCACATTCATTTATTATAAATTATTTCCAATAATCTGGTAGCACTGCTAAAATTCTTGTAACCATTATACAAAAGTAGGAATGAAATAATTGCAGTCGTGTTATTATGACAGTAGAAATGATTCCTTTAAAGGGTTTCTCTTTATTTATATGTACCGGTAATCAAAATAGTTAACAAAGAACAGTGAGGTATCTTCCCTTCGATCACTTTATACATTTTCATGTGCTCAAAGTGCAGCTTTATAATATAGAACATACATAATATTTCATATACTTCCAATTTATACCAGATATATATTTAGAAAGTTCAGAGGTTTTGTGAATTACTGTGTGATTCAGAAGTTGTGTAAACAACTATCATTTTCCATTCTGATCTCATAGCCATCTTTATCTTAGCAAATTTTAAAGTGTTCCTAGGATGTAATTTCTTTTTCATTGATCTGTTTAGACTGAAAAGCCTATTGTTTTTTAAACTTATGCTTGTACCGCTCCCCTAACGCCCACATGGGGCATTTGTTATTGGCTGTAGGAGGAGGCCAGTAAAACTACAGAAGAGAAGGAGGAAAAGCCATCTTCAGAAATTGAGCTTAAGAAGACAGTGACTGAAGGCAGTGAATCAGAGGGCCATGTATGACTGTGCAGCAGAAGGACAATCCTGAATTTAGCCTGCACCCAGACAGGTTTCTGAAGAACTCAGAAATTCTACAGTGTTTAATGTAAAGTTTGTTTCAATAGGCATTATTGTGGAAGCAAAAGCCTATCCAGAAGCTTCACAAGAAATGATAAAATTACTGCTACTGCTGTGACCATGCTCAGCAGTGTACCATAAACCAAGGACAGCATGGGACCACTTCAAGTGGAACAAATGGTTCAGTAACAAATACCCACAATGGTTCTTGATTATAGATGGCTCAGAGCTCATTTCAGTTTGCATCAGGCAGTGACCAGGATAGGGCCCTACAGTGATAAGAATACAGGAACTGTCAGTTGCATTTGGTTGTGTTCGTGGTAGCACCACATGGGTATATTCTGCATGTCAGAAAGAAAGGCCCAAGTGCTACCAATTCAAGGTGCCACTCTCGTGTTAGTAGAATCAAGTGGAAAACATTTTTAAAAGTCAGACTCCTGGGATGTTATTCTCTCTGTCTTGTAGTTCCAATGGGTTTCTGTAGCACAATAGTTTCTCAGGGAACTGAGTAGTCCAAATCGTGCTATTATTGTTGTTCTTGTTATTAAATGATTGCTTGCTGGCAAGGTCCCCAATCAATTGATGACTGAGTACAGCAGAAATGCCAGCTTCTGGGCATGAGCATTTCCCACCTCTCATTCCCCACTGGGGTATAAATATGATCAGCACCAAACAGCGCTGATTAGCTGCTGCAGGATTAGCTGGACTGAACGAGGCCACTTCCCCCCCCTCTTTCCAGGATCAGTTGAGTGTGGACATAGGGATGCTCGAGGACAGTAGCCTTTTTCCTTTTTAATGCATTTTTTGTGCTGTGTGGGACAAATGTATGCAGTAATCAACTTGAATTATGTGTTGAGACCTATTGAATGCATTGCTCAAGTTTATAACATAGTAGCAATCAGGATATTTTTTAAAAAAGAAAGAAAAACATTTTCTTTCAAAAAAATCTTTATGATTAGTTTTATCAGTAATACAGTGACATGTTTTGTAACATTAAAAACACTTTTAGAAACTAAATTCGTAATTCGGTTTTAAAACTTTTTGCTCATTCTGGGAATCCTTCTTTAAACTCTTGTTTGGATCCCCCTGAAGCTGTCAGCTTGTTTTTGAATGCTTTGTAAAACAAAGTGGGTCCACTCTCAATGCTATAAATGGTAGGGCGGGCAGTGTTTTAGATGTGAAGGTGAAAAAGCTGATTCAGAGTGCACAAAAGTGCAAACAACACCCATCGGCAACAGTTTAAACCAAACTCATCTTTTTCCAGAATTGCACACCAAACCTTCAGGAGATCCTGGAAAAAAATGAGGCTGCTTCAGGAAAATGGCTTTGAATCTGAAGTGCCAAACCATTTTGCCTTCAAATCCAAAACACTACTCAGCCCTAATAAATATTTCTTAAATATTTTTTTCAGGATAAAGCAGTGAGTATTTGCTGCAGATGGCTCATATCAGTCTGCATTCTATCTCAATCATTCATTAATAGCACTGAAATTCATTTGAGTGTTCATTCCTAGGGAAATATAATTTTACTTAAGCCCCATTGGCAGCATGTTTGCCTCATTGCTTTCAGTGGTGCTTATGAAACTAATTTTTTCTCTGGGTCTGGATCAACATGTTTACTGATCTGTGATGGAACATTACATTTCATCGTGCATAGAGCTGTACCTCCATTACAGAATGTGTAGGGCATTTTGCTTTCCTGTATGTCAGATGGGCAACACTGCTATATTTTAAATTTGTTTAGTATTTTCAATGTTAATTTCTCTTGGAGTTTAACACATGCTTAACTTTTTTTTCCCTGGTGGTTTTCTTCTCTGATAAAATGCAGTTTTATGTTCTTTTCTTCTTCCTTTCTTTTCTCATTGAAATCATTGTTCTCTCTTTTCTGCTATTATTCCACTGTTTAATTATATATAGGTAGTTCTCGACTTACAACAGTTCAGTTTACAACAGTTTACAAACAGACTGTTTGAAGTTACAACGGCACTGAAAAAAGTTTATTGGATTTTTGGATTTCTATACCGCCCTTCTCCCAGGGGACTCAAGTGACTTATGACTACTTTTCACATTTACAACCATTGCAGCATCCCCTCAGTCACATAATCAAAATCCAGACACTTGGCAACTGACTCATATTTATGATGATTGCAGTGTCCCGGGGTTATGTTATCCCCTTTTGTGACTTCCTGACAAGCAAAGTCAATAGGGAAGCCAGATTTACTTAACAACCATGTTATTAACTTAATGATTACAGTGATTCACTTAACGATGCTGGCAAGAAAGGTCGTAAAATGGGGCAAAGCTCACTTAACAACAATTAGCAACAGAAATTTGAGCTCAGTTGTGGTCGTAACTCAAGGACTACCCGTATTAACATGAACAGAGAAGAGATAAAACTTCATTGGCATTATTTTTACACTTACGTGAAACTTTAAGTTCCTTTGTTTTAATAACATGGAGATATACCCAGTCTCGGATTAGGAAAGCAGTATCTATTGGGAGTAGGCAGATCTTCTGATGGTGCTATCTGAAATCTGAATGATAGATTCTTGTTGGTAGATTCTGTTCATTTTAACAGAAACTAAATTTTATTTACCACGGTTAATGTAGCTTTTGATTTGTTATATACCTCTCCACATGTACCCAAATTTCTGTACAGGATGCTAAGATATGGAAGGAATAATAGGGCTGTCTAGAGTAGACTGACCAGCAATTTCGGATACATGTCCCAATGTTCATTTTGTTACATAGCTGATTATATTATATTTCTATACCAAATTATAGAGTTCAACATTATTTTCATGAGCCATATTGACATAGTAGGGAGCAACTCTTTCAGATTTAGAGTGCAAGTTATAATTCTCATTTTTGCTTTCTGTGTTCATAAACTGTATGAATTATTGAAAGTCTTAATATAATAAGCATCCACAATAAACAAAGAAGATAAAAATTCATTCTGAATGAAAATTATCCAACAATAGCAAAAGAATGATTTTTTTTGTGTTGCAATATTTCACCACTGACACAATTTAGTACAAGCAGTAATGTGTCCTGTTGCCTGCTATTTGTTTTTTCAAAGAGGAACATGAGCAAATGGAATGTCAGTCTTAGACTATAGATGGATATGTTATTTTGTTTTGTTTGAACAGCGAATTTTGAGAAGACTCAGCTTGATCTTCCAGAAGATGTTGATTTACGATGCTAGCTATGGTTTCAGTTTCACCATGAATGTTTTCGCTACAAGAAAGATTTTCTGTTTGAAATACATAAAACTTTAATGAGTAGAGGCATCTCCCAGATAGGGAGGATTAGCATATGCTATTGCCCTCCAAATATTATGTGGTATCCAAAATGTGTTCCAATTCTTTTAGAAAGGTTACTTTCTGTGGGCCTAAAATCTGTGACTGAAATAAAGTCACATTTGTTTTAGACTTTCCACCTGTACCAGTTCCTATATTTTTATGCTATCTATCATAATTTTAACATGGAATCCTGGGCTTCAACTAATCTTCCCTTTCTCTCATATCTGTACCATTACTCTCGTTTCTCACCAAATTAACACTAAACTCACAACTTTGCCGAGGGTATCTGTTTAGTGTGATGTGGCTTGGAAATATATACCTCTAAGGTGGATGTTGAACATTTCCTGTTTTGCATCCTGTAGATTCTTAGCTTATTTTTAGTTACATGACTGTTGGAACATCAAGATAACTACATCTACCTCAGTAATGTGGCTTTTCTTTTGTTATTCAACTCAGCCATTTGATGCTTGACTACTTGCTCTAAATTAAGTAGTTTTTTCAGAACTATTCTATGCTGAAGAGAAATGCTGAAGAGAAATTCAGTTTTATTATTTCATATATATGGATTATATTTTGCTAAAGATAGTATAGAGAGAGAAAATAAAATAATTCAGTTCAGCCATCAGTGAGATTTCTATATGATTTTTCTTCTCAACTATCTTTTTTTAAAGAAACGACCACATGATTGCTACTGATAGGAATCAATTATCCTTTGCTATCCAGACGTTGCTATACATATGTAGTTGCTAGTAAACTACTCAAAGGCTATTTTTGTTGAGGTCTCCTGTTGAAGAAAGAAAAATATAATCATTAGCAGTACAGTACACAACTTCAGGAACCGTTTTCTTAGATATATCAATTGTTTTCAAAAACAATAATTGTTTTGTTTAACTTAAATTGCCCCTGGATTGGACAAATGTTTTTACTATCTGTGGACTCTTAGAAATGCTAATATATAGTGCTCTCACCAGGAACAGGTTTGCCAGTATCAATGCTCCACTAATGGATCTTATATAACATGAAATAGATGAATTGTTCACTAATTTGTGCAATCTTGCTGTTTTGATTTCTACTCACTCACATGGGCTTTGTGATTTCTACTCACTCACATGGGCCGTAATCCACATTATATCAGTTTCAAAATTTTACATTATGACTGACTAACTATTGGCTTACACAGTTTGATGCTCATATCAAACAGAGAATACCAAATACTTAAATTCCTGTATTTCTCTCTAATCTTCATTTTTCTATTTCATTTTGCTAATGGAGGCAAACTTTGACATCTATATGATACCTAATATATTTTCATCTATTTCCATAAGGCCTTAATTCCACAGTCAATAAGTAAACTAATCTGGCCCATTATTCCTGACTGCTTTTTTTCTTTTTCCCCTTGTGATGTCCTATCTAAAGGATCAATAGATTTTGATCAAAGATATATCATTATATTTGACCTTGGTAGCTAGCAAAACATGCAGTTGTGTCAATTTGCCTATTTCTTAGGTCACAGGAAAAGACCAGGACTTGTGCCTATAGCTCTGATGGACTCTCAGAGATATTCATGAAGAATGAGAATATTTCACTGTTTCAAAGTGCCTCTAAATCCTAATTTTGCAGATTACCAGTCTCTCACTTTGTGCCTGTTAGCCATGCTAAATTCAATGACTCACTCAAGACTAAAATGCAGATCTATATAGTACTTCACAGAATTATGTCCAAACCAACCTGATTTTGCTTTCCACATGAAGTATTTTCTGGGTAGCGTGCCCTAGCAATGCCTGTTGGTGTCTTAAGAACATAATGCCTGAAAAAATAGGCTAACAGTCCTTCCAAAGGAATATTGCTGCTGAGGGTTTTCTCTATAAATATTACAGATGTGTAGAAATATAAATATTACAGATATGTAGAAATGGTCAATTATCCTGTGTAATGTCTATTGCTGTGTCTATTTTCCTACTTTCTAAGTCCTCACCTATCCTGAATTACTTGTAAAGTGGAGTGCCAAGTTAACAGTTCGAAGAGTTTTCAAATGGGACAGATGGATTTGTGAAGGATAGGTCTGTAAATAAAACTACTGACTAAGATGCAGCTTCTATCTTAACGAAGAATGTATCTTAGGTAACAGACAGTGGGAGGGAAATAAAGAGAAGTTGCTGTCTTATTTTGCTTTGTGAGTCATCCTTCTGAAAGCATTTACCTGCTCAATGTGGCAAACAGAATGTTGCAATAATGGGCTTTAGCTTTAATTTCTCCAAGCAATGTTTTACTTGTTTCATTCTCCAAAGTTTAGCTTATATATAAATATGTACTAAGCACATCAGAATTATCCAGGCATTGTATTGTGTATCGTGTTTTTCTTGAATCCTGGTAGATTCTGCCCCACTAATTGTAAAAGCGATCTTGGAGAAGCTGTATATTGGAGCTCAGCAAGATGTAAGATTGAAGTTAGTTTCAAGCTTCAGAGGTTGATATGTGAGAAACCTCAACTCATTTTAATAGTATTAAATGTATCAGAAAAATTATAAAATAGTCCTTTAAAGTTTAAACTGCTAAAATGGAATGCCTCCTTTACTAACCACGCAACTGACACTTCAGTGACAGAAAGCACAGGGCAACAGTGGAAACTGAATCCCAGTTGAAGACACATAATGCAATGCTATTACTTTGATTTTCTGCAATATATAAAGAGTTACGATATTGATGCTGCAAGGCTTGTGCACTTTTTCTTAAAGGATTAACTATTATGTTTGGAGTGAGCTATACAATAGCCTCCACATTACACTTCTAAGACTTTGCTGAGACAAGTAATGGATATCATTACTGCAAGGACAGTTGTCCAAGGACAGTTGTTCCGCATCCAGCCTGAAATTGCAAATTGCAAAATTGTTTAAGGGAGGAAAAACTGCTTTTGTGGCTATATCAATGCTCTGTATTGCTTGCTTCTTTTGAGAAGCCAGGTTGTTTATATTTGTGTTATTACTCATTTACCTTACTTTACATTTGCTATTGTAAGAAGAGAACCAATTTGATATAATGGTTAAGGCATCAATTTAGGATCAGAGACTGTGAGTTGTAGACTCTGCCTTAAGCACAAAATCAGCTAGGCCAATCATACCCTCTTAGCCCTAGGTAGCAGGCAATAGTAAATTACTTCTGAAATCTTGTCAAGGAAATCATAGGGACTTGTCTAGGCAATCACAAGGAGTCAACACTAACTCAAAGGTACAATAAGTAAAACATCTGCCAAGACTGCCGAGTGACCTGTGGGCGTCACCATATTCCTCATCCATCTTCTTGTCACTGAGATTGAGTTTTCAACTCCTGTGAATGCAGATGTGGCCTTTCACACGTTATCTTGATGTAGGCTACATAATGAATTTTTTGTCTCCAGGATAAAAATGAAAGCCAAGGCCACTTAAGGGAGAAAAGACTGAAAGCTCTGCTTGCCCAGCATGTGAAACTGTAAACGCTGTTTAACGAAGTATGCTAGCTAATACAAAAATTAATCGAACTACAGGATGTATTACTGCCTTGTGTATAATCACAGCATCATGTCATCATGTTAAATTGTGTGTGTGTTGGCTTAATTTGTTCTGTTAACACAACCATTATTGTTTGTTACTCATGCCTTATGGATTAGCACGTGCAAAATAACCGGTGTTTCAATTACCACTTAGAGAAAAAAGCTGAATATGCTGTTGACTTCAGAGCAGAGACTCTGCACCTCTTTGCTTCAGAGGAATTGGCTGTCTCTGGTGAGGTAATGAGTTCTACCCAATATTTTCTTGAAAACCTTGAAGAGCTCTTGAAGCAATAGAGCTGGGAAATAATATTATTCTGAAGTGCCCTCAAGCCATGATGCAAATGCAACAAAAACAGACACCACTACCATAAAGTTGGTGGTTTGCTATTTGGATGTGTGTCTCCCTCTCAATTTCCCCTATAAAGGCAGAGGCTTATAGAGTCTATTTAGTTCTCACCTAGTTGGCCTTAAAGTATTGCTACTCAAGGGGACATCTGATTCTTTTCTCTTCCATGCTGCTAGAGGCCTATAATGATAAATAATATCATTGCTCTCGTATAGGTAGTTGAAAAAAAAAGATACAGCCACAGTACAGCCTTAAATCAGTGGAAGATTTTTCCCTCCTTTTGTGGATTCCTTTTAGAATAAGGAACCCACATTTTTTATTGCAAGGAAATTTTTCACAAAGCATTTCTGCAAACTTTGCTATTTCTTCTGTCAATTGGCACCTCCATGACTACCATACATGTGCATGAATGCACATGCATTGCGCCATTGCATGTATGTTTGCCACATTAAAGCAAATGGACAGTTCACCCCAAATATGAGAAGAAAGGCAAGGGTGATGGTTGAACCAGTGCTTGACCTAAAGCTTGCAAAGTTGGATTTAGATTACTGGTGAAGTATTTGTTATGCCAGCTCTTTAAATACAGAATAGGTATTCATTCTGTGAGGCTATTTATACATACTTAATTCTTGGAGTTTGGTCATTTTTTCATATCCATCTGTAATTCATCATAGACTAGCTGAAAAATGAAAGTTAACACTGTAAAGAAAACCACTATCTTAAAAAAGGAAGTTATCCCATTTCATATTGAAATCCACCCAAAATAATTGTGATAGATGCATATTGTCAATTAGCTACCTTATTTTTTGTCCAGCAAGAGAGTCTAAAGGAATGTTTCCAATAGAATTTTAACTTGCAAAAGAGCAGTAGAGTAGCATCACCCTATAAGACATATTGAAATATAGCACAATAAATTAATATATCTCTAGTGGAACATGGCTGTGCTGAGTAGAAAATAACAAACCTGAATTCTTAAAAAAAAAACCTTTTTTTTAAAAAAATCCCATAACTGAATAGGAAGCTGAGTTCTGTGGTGCTTAAATTAGCATATTGCTTATATATTGCACACAGATGGGCTGTTCCAAACATGATCTAGAAATTTGTGTATCTTTGAAAGGCAAGACCTTCCCAAAATGCCTGTTTCAGTGACTTAAAGCACTTAAAAGTGTTGGGGAAATTATTTTAACCCCTATTTGTATGAAATAACGAAACAAAAATAAAGTCTGACCTTTTTTCTCAGCATGTCATGCTTTGTGTTTTTCTATATATCTCCCACAAATTCTTAACAACAAGGAACTATTATAATCTGGTAATGTATGCTTTCTTCACAACAGCACACATCAGTTGAAACAAGGTGTACTACCTAATAGAAGTAGAAGTGTGAAGAGCATTTACTGGAGGAGGGAAGTCAAGGCAAACCAGCTTTGGGAAATAAAGATGTCAGTTTAACTTGACACCAAAAGAATGTGATGATTTCTGATATATAGCATATTGGTACTTTTGAAACATATAATTTAATTAAAGTTATTTATAGCCATTAGCAATAACAAAAGCATTGTAGATTATGAGCACCCGAACTGCAAGTAAGACTGAAATGAGAAGTGAAATTTCCTTCTATCTGAGCGAGGAAAGATCATGTTATGTCCTTACCAAGGTCAAGTTGCCATGACATGTATTGTCTGCCTAATAAACTAGGTGAACTGAGCTGTTATTTCTATAGAAACAGAACAGCATGTCATTTAAATCCAGGAAGGGGATTAAGCTGTGTCTAACTTAGCTTGCTGGCCTTTGGACCAAGACAGGAGGCTAAAATAGCTGTAAAATGGAGTGGCTCTGACTAGCATTCCCTTTCCCTAGCTACACATGGTATAAAATAAGAGCAAAGAGAGGAGAGGAGGCTCTGATCTCCAGAGTTGTATTTCTTAACCGAAAGCAGTGGGATAATTATGGAAATGCCAAGTTAATTGGCTTCCCACCAAGATTTCTAGATTTCTAGAGTTCATCACATAGCAAAAGATGCTGCCACTTTTGCAAGAACTAATCCAAATGCTCAATGCTTGAAACCTCAACTGGAACATGAGTGATTGTAAGCACTGATCAACACCATATAATTGTTGGTAGTCAATGCACTATGTGGTTAAATTTGCATCTATCTAGAAGAGTCTTTGTGAAATTGTATTGCTGTGTGAGAAAGATTTGGGAAACGGGATGAAGAGATGCTGCCTGGGAAACTGTCAGATAAGGGACCGCATAGGCAAAAGGCTGATAAGGGACTCTCCCTAGTTTCTAGGGCTGTAAAGAAGGCAATGAGAGAATTGTACTTTCAAATATGCAAGTTTCTGTTAACTTAGCTTTACAATAAAGTAGAATTAGTTTATCTGGTCATGTTTCCTGTCTGGTCTGTCTGGTAAAACTGACAGATACAGATTTCTGGTGGTTGGTTAGAACAAATATTTCCTTATTATGAAAGAATAGTTTGGAGAGAGTCTGTTGTATCAGTCAGTGAGAGCACCATCTTGTGAGTTGTGGCACATAATTAAAGTAGCAAGTGAGACCATGAGAAAAAGGGGGACAAAAGTATCGTAATAGGCATGCCTGATTGTGAAGAAAGGTAGTGTACAATGGAAAGAACTGCCCTCGGAATAGGACAATTTGCCACAGCCTACTTGCTGTAGTCACCTCACCATGGCCAATTCGCTGCGGCCAACTAGCATGGGACAACTTGTCATGGCCAACTCTCTATCGGCCAACTCGCCGCAGGAAAATTTATCAATTCAATTTAATTCTTTAAAATAAATAAAAATTGTTTTAATTTTTGTCATTCAGATTTCTTTTTGTCTCTTCTTTTGCGTCCCACCATTTCTTTGATATAAGTGTAACTCTTGTCCCACAGTGAGTTGGCTGTGGCAAGTTGGCCCATGGCAAGTTGGCCGCAGCAAGTTGGCTGTGGCGAGTTGGCCACAGTGAATTATCATAGACCCAACTGTCCTTGCTCAAACCATAGGCAATGGAGCCCGACCTCATACTAAAACTATATAAAATGCACATAGGATCACAGTGGAAAAATACTTGCGACCAGGCATTTTGGGAGGGGGGTTATTTCTCTCCACCACCCCCTTATCTATCTTGCCTTCCCATTCAAATATCCTTCAAAAATGCTAATTTCCCACACATTGAAGTTTTCTATTACTTTGTGAGGGCAAATGGCTCCAGAGCAGTGGTGGGATTCAGCCAGTTCTCACCACTTCGGGAGAACCGGTTGTTAACTTTCTGAGCAGTTTGGCAAACTGGTTGTTGGAAGAAATCATTAGGGCAGAGAACCGGTTGTTAAATTACTTGAATCCCACCACTGCTCCAGAATATTAAGTGACACCACAGCACAGTGGCATATCGGAGCACCAATTCATGACACCATGTGGAGCTACCTATTTTGAGTAAGCAAGCTTTTTGATTCTTATATACAATATTGAATATGAAAGATGTGTTCCAACAATCCATAAATCTCCAGTGTACACTCTTCACAGAAACATCAATGTTGTCTATCATAGATACTTTCCATTGTTTAGGAGAGGGATGAGTGTGTGGCTCTTACATTAGGAAAGTAATCTTGGTTAGGTTTGCAAAGATGTGATTGTATGCTTGAAGGATGTCACAAATTTTATACCAGTCAAAAATTTGGGGGGATTATTATTCTGTCTTTAATGTTTGCTCCTTTGCTTTCTCCATCACCTAACAACTTGAATTTCCTTTCTTGCCTGCAGCTGATTCTTTGAAAGCCATCTGGATAATACCATAGTAGTAAAATGCCATCTAGTGGAAAAATATTCCTCTAGTCCTGAAATGAAACCAGTTAATTAACTGAACAAGATGAGTTCCATCAAAACGAAGATAAGCACAGGGTCTGTGTTTTTAATTATGGGCTTATTTTTGAGCCCAGTGCAGAATTGTTCCATTAGAAGAGTAGATGAGGTAAAGTTAACAATCAAGTTTATAGAGAGATTCATGTAGGTTTCTAGGTAACAATCCAGATCTTGGAAGTGATTTGCTGTTGCCTCCTTACAGGATTCCCCCCACCCCCATCCCAATCTGAACTTTTTTCAAGAAAAGCCAAAGTTAATGAGGCTCAGTCACATTATTTTTAGAAATACTCTCATTGAATACCTCCTAATATTGGCAAATAATCCATGTGAATAGAAAAGTCTTTTGTAGATTTTAAATGATTATAAAACATCAGTAATAAGAAAGTAACGGGATTTATAAGGAGCCTACTCTTAGACATTCCTATTCCATTTCTTAGTTTTAAATTAGCAGCTAAAGAAACCATCCCAAAAGAGAGCCTTTTTGTTGCCTCTCCCATAACTTCATTATTGAAAGTGTTCTAATATCTTATAAAAGAACTATATTTTCTGAACAATATTTGCATATGAGAAATTAGCATAGCAATAAGGGGAAAGAGTAAGAATCTCACTTCGTTTCTGGGAAAACAATTAGCAACTATCACAGAAGTGCAGACTTAATACATTCCAGATATGTTAGCAGCCTAGAGTCTATATTTTGCTTGTAGATTCCACATACTATTTTTCAGGATATTGCATGCCCAAATCACATCATGACCACATCATGACTTTGGACTATGGTTTTACCATTCAGAGAACAAATAACTCACTCAAAACAATTTGAAACAATCAGAGTCTGATTTCTTATTAATCAGCACCTAACTGGAATTTAATGTCAGCTTCTCCAGGCTATTACTGACCTTTAGGTATTTATCTACTAAGGCTGTGTATTTAAGGGATTCCTCTCTCATCAGCAGTTTTGTTCTATACTTAATGGATATCTTATTTTGGGGTGCCCTGCTCTCTCTTTTGCTCTGGCAAGCTATGGCTTAGATTATAAAAAGATCAATGGTAAGATGGAGATGATCCTATTTTCCTGATAAAGGACAGATAAAATAAGACTGCAGAATTCCAGTACAAATGAAGGCAAATATACATGTCCCGGGATAATGATGCGAGATCAAATTTGGGTCGGTCATTGGAACCAGCGATTTACTCTTCCGAGGTTTTAGACTCCAGTACAGTTCATGTCAATTTGAGATAGTTACACAGGGCAGATGCTTCTAGCTTGTCCTGCAAAGCATTGATCCTAGGAAGAAGAAAATGCTGCTCACTTCAGGGCCTGCATTAAGTGTTACATTTCTACCCCTGTGCAGTCCAAAGCACCTTCAAAGATTGAACCCAAAGCATAGCACAGCTCTAAGACATAGTATTTCTCGATTTAAACAATTTGTGTTGGGTTAGCAACAGACCCAACTAACCCTCCGTTGGATCTACTAAAATCTGACCTATTGCAGAATGCTATGAATAGGGAGAAATGTCTCCAGCAATAATTCATAGCATCTTCATTTCTTGTCATTTTGAAGAGTCGTAGGTGTTAATTTGTATAGGCCCATGATGGTGAACCTGTGGCATGTGTGCTGGAAGTGGTACGCACAGCCATCTCTCCAGGCATGCCAGCTGTCACCCATTGCTCTTCTGGGTTGCGGAGCACACATGCGCACCGGCCAGCTGGTCTTTGAACACACGAGAGCACCGCGGGAGCACCAGAAGAGCAGCTCCCTGGCACGCATGTGCGCACTGGGAAGCTGAGCTTCCGGATTACAGCATGTGCATGCACGCCGGGCAGCTGGCCTTCATGCACACATGCACGCCAGAAACCAGAAGACCAGGTACCAGCGCACATGGCTCTTCCGCTTTCCAGCACTCCCACACATGCACATCAGGGAGCTGCTCTTCCAGTTTCTGTGCCCCCCTTTCACATGCGCACGCTCCCGTTTCAGCACTCGGTGTCGTAAAGGTTCGCCAACACTGTCCTAGGCCATATAGTGCCCTCTTGTGGTCAGTAATGGAGATAACCGTTCTAGATCAGCATTTCTTCCATCAGTTGTCAAGATTAATATTGTCTGAGGCAGAAAGTGTTGGCTCTCACAAAGAGAAGGATAAAAGCAGCTTGCAATTTTACTTTTATTGAGTTCTGGCTAATGATGGCCTTATAACATAGCTCATTGATTCTAATATACTGTGAAGATGATTCAGAAGTTGAATCATATTTCAAACTTTTCATTCTCTTTTGTAATATTTTCTGATTTCTTTAGTTCTTATAGCGTCCATTGATTATGGATGCTTGCTCATATTTTCTGCATTGTTGTTCACCCATTCAAATAAATCCACCAGGGAACACCGGGGAAATACCTGAGGATTGGAAAAGATCTGATGTGGTTCTCATCTTGGGGGAAAAAGGGGGAGGGAACAGACCCAGGAAACTACAGACCAATCGGCCTAACATCAATACTTGGGAAGATACTGGAAAAGATAATCAAAAAACAAATCTGTGAACATCTAGAAACAAAGTTATAACTAAAAACCAGCATTGGTTTGTTAAAAACAGATCATGCCAAGCCAATCTTATTTCATTGTTTGACAAAATGATTAAATTAGTAGACTAGCAAAATGCAATGGACATAGTAGACTTCAGCAGGGCATTCGACAAAGTAGACCACAATCTACTTCTTGGTAAACTAGAAAAATGTGGGATAGACAGCATCACCACCAGATGGAGTTGTAACTGGCTGATAAACAGTACTCAATGATTCGTCCTTAATGGTACTATGTCTACATAGAGGGAAGTAAGCAGTGCGGTACCACAAGATTCTGTTTTAGGCCCAGCACTCTTCAATATCTCCATAAATGACTTAAATAAGGAAATAGAAGGGGAACTCAACAAATTTGCAGATGTCACTAAGATGGCAGGAGTAGCCAACACCCCAGAAAACAATCTCAGGATCCAAAAAGATCTTGACAGACTTGAACAATGGGCCCTATCCAACAAAACAAAATTTAATGCAGAGAAAAGCAAGGTTTTACATTTAAGGAGGGAAAAATGCCTTGGTAGTACAGTGGTTTAATGCACCCTGTTATTAACACAGCTGCCTGCAATTTCTGCAGGTTTGAATCTTACCAGGCTCAAGGTTGACTCAGCCTTCCATCTTTCTAAGGTAGGTTAAATGAGGACCCAGTTTGTGGGGGCAATAAGCTGACTTTGTATAAAATATACAAAAGTATGAAGGCTATTGCTTAATGCATTGTAAGCCGCCCTGAGTCTCCGGAGAAGGGCGGCATATAAATCAAAATTTAAAAAAAAAAAAAATCAAAGGTACACATACAGATTAGGTGAAACCTGGCTCAACAACAGTAACTGTGAGAGGAACCTTGGAGTTCCAGTGGATGATCACTTAAATATGAGCCAGCAGTGTGCGGCAGCATCCAAAACTAATGAATTGGTTGTATAAACAAGAGGCATAGAATAAAAATCATGTGAAGTATTAGAATCACTTTATAAAGCCTTAATAAGGCTACATCCGGAATTGCTGCATCCAGTTTTGGTCATCCCATTACAAAAAAAATGTTGAGACTTTGGAAAAAGTGCAAAGAAGAACAACTAAGAAGATTAAAGGCCTGGAGACTAAAACATAAGAACAGTTCGAGGATTTGGGTTTGGCTAGTCTAGAGAAAAGAAGGACTAGGGGGGACATGATAGCAGTACTCCAGTATTTGAGAGGCTGCCACAAAGAGAAGGGGGTCAATTATTTTCCAAAGCACCAGAGGGCAAGACAAGAAACAATGGATGGAAATGAATAAAGGAGAGAAGCAAACTGGAATGAAGGACAAACTTCCTAACAGTGAGGACAATTAACCGGTGGAACAGCTTGTCTTCAAAAGTTGTAGGGGCTTCATCACTGGAGGTTTTTAAGAAAAGGCTTGACAGCCACTTATCTGAAATGGTATAGGGCAGTGATGGCTAACCTTTTTCAGACTGAGCGCCCAAAGCGTGCATTAGCGTTTGACATTTAACCCCCAAAATGCAATGCACGCACAGCCCCGTGCATGCATCCACTCCCGTGCATACGCACCCCCGCATGCGCCCTACCCGTGCATGCACCCTGCTCCCCTGCACATGCATGCATGGCCCCCTTGCATGTGCCCCCATGCATGTGCATGCGTGGCCCGCACCCCCCCCACATGCATGGCAGAGACCCGAAGACCAGCTGGCCGGTGGGAGGCATGCACACATGTGCAGCAGAGCTCAACTGGGGCGACAGCTCGCGTGCCCACACAGAGGGCGCTGCGTGCCAGAGGTTCACCATCATGGGTATAGGGTATCCTGCTTGAGCAGGGGGTTGGACTAGAAGACCTCCAAGATCCCTTCCAACTCTATTCTGATTGCTTGATTGAATACAATGGGGATCCATAATATTTGTATATTCATTGAACTGAACTGAATTGGTCATTTTTGCCCTGACTATGGCTACTTTTAACTCAATTTGCCCAGTTGTTGGGGTCCAGTTTTGAATTTCACGTGTCATATAAATCCCCCAACCTGCCAATTGTTATCCATCTCTTTTGTAGAATTACTGCAACATTCCTCTTTGACCATGATCTAGAAGTAAAATTAAAATGATAAGTAATTCATGTAATTGTATAATTCACATCATCTCTTTCACAAGCAGGGCTTTTCTTGAGGAAGAGAATTTGCAGCCCAACTTTCGTGTAAAGGATGAAGTCATATGCTCCATTTACGAGGATCGTGGAAAAACATCTCATCCGAACAATAGATTATTGACTCACTGTCAGCACTTCAACCTGCATTTACTTTAGTGCTGACATAAGAAGGAGAAGCGAAGGCGTCTGGAAAGGGACGGCTGACTTTTCACCTACTTATTTTCCCTGGAGATAATGTTTCCGAGGAGATGAGATGGGAGGGGGGAATTCCTTTGAGCTGGAGTAGATTAGGGGTAGAATGACTTGGAAGATGGCCAATGAGTGTAGGGGAGTGGGTAACGGAAAGGGAGGGTTTTGGGGCTGGAAGTCAGTGTTGGCTTCGTTTGGAGTCAGGTTAGGATGTCATGCTCAATATTAATAGGAGTTTTTTCTTCAAAGATTTTGTTTGAAATGCATTTTATTCAAGACGACCTCGAAACTTGACACTCACTTTATTTTCACATATTTGAACCAGGAGTGAAATCCAGCCAGTTCTATCCGACTTGGGCGAACCAGTAATGGTGGCTGCGGGAGGCTCCGCCCACCCGCACGGACATCATGATGTCACTTTTTTGTGACATTTTAAGCCTCTGCACATGTGCAGAAGGCTTTGCGCATGCGCAGACAATGGCGCACGGAGCACGCACATTGGCAAACCGGTAGGGAAAATAAGTAAATTTCAGCCCTGATTTGAACCACCTATTTCCCTCAGAGAGGGACTCTCCATAGTGTACAAGGACATGTTAAAATATAAACGCAGTATATAAAATTTAAAAAAATTAGGAGGCAAGAATAATCAAACACTGTTAAAATTAGTTTTAATTAGTTAAAAAAAAGTGAAGGGAGGGCTTTCAGGGGACTAACCAGTGGTGGGTTTCAATTTTTTTTACTACCAGTTCTGTGGGCGTGGCTTGGTGGGCATGGCATGGCTTGGTGGGCGTGGCAGGGGAAGGATACTGTAAAATCTCCATTCCCATCCCACTCCAGGGGAAGGATACTGCAAAATCCCCATTTCCTCCCAAATAGCTGGGACTTGGGAGGCAGAGAATAGATGGGGGTGGGGCCAGTCAGAATTTTTACTATTGGTTCTCCGAAGTACTCAAAATTTCCGCTACTGGTTCTCCAGAACTGGTCAGAACCTGCTGAAACCCACCTCTGGGACTAACCAGCCCCATGGCTGTGTGTTCCTCTGGGCTCCTCATGCAGTGCCACAAAGCCATTTTTTTGACTCCTTTTCATAAGACCCGGAAAGTGGGGGCCTGCCTAATTTCTGGGTGAAGATATATTCCATAGGGTGGGAACAATGGCAGAAAAATCTCTCTTCTTAGACTCCACCAGTAAGAGTTCTTCAACTGATGGGGTCTGCAACATATTATATCGTAATCTTCTGACCAAATCAGAGCATTATTTATTTCAGAAATGCTTCATAGTCTATTTTTATCTGGAACACAGCTGGAGAAGAGATGAAGCTGGCAAATTAAAAGAAAGGGAATCGGAGACAGAAAAATAGATTTATTGGATGTGGGCTGCAAAAGTCCAGATGACTGCTTATTAAGCTCTTAACTTCATCCAACGAGAACCCAGAGTTTTGGAGTACAGAACCAGTTTTCCTAGCCTAACATGGTGTTTTATATATGGTAGGTTCTCTGCTGAGCAAAGCAGATCTTCTATGCATAAGCAGTGGCCCTTCCAATCTTATTGATACGTTGAGTGTGTATCAGTAGTGGGTTTCAAATCCCATTGTTACTGGTTTGCTTGTGGATGTGTGCACGCTCACGCACAATGCTTCTGTGCAGGCGCAGAGATGTCTGGGCGGGTGGGCAGAGCCTCCTGCGGCCATCGCTACCAGTTCGCCTGATCCAGGGTGAACCGGTAGCAACCCACCACTGGTGTGGATCTCATGCATTGCTAATTGTGATTGCTAATTGTGAGGGAATTAGGAATCTCTAAACCAGATTATAGCTTTTCTTTGTTCCAAGTGAGCATTAAAAAATTGGAGTTAGAATTTATGGAACTATCAATGCCACTATGATCCAAAGACATTTGCCAGTGAGAATTTAGTGAAAAAAATATTCTAGGCTACAACATTAGTGTGGATCATTGCATAAAAGAGCCACTTGCATTATTGCATTATTTGACAGGCATAGTACAGACAATCTTACAAAGCTACAATAATCTTCTCTTGGCCCTGTTTAAATAAATTGCAGCGACAGATGTCCCATTCGTCTAGTAACAGTCCATCAGCCCCTGAAATCCTATTAGGTCATTTGAAGGAATAAACATAATCTCCCTAGCGTTCCAGTTCCTTTTCTTCCCTATCTTTCCACCAACATCTCCGCTAGTTAGCTGAAGAATCCTGGGTTGATGTTTTATACTGCTTCAGAATATTTTTGAATCAATATTTGAATCAATGAATGGTATTCAGGCTTTGAAGGTTAATCAACATGTGATACAAGGATATTAAGAAAATCAAAAAAGGAACACCTGCAAGATGGAGGCAGTGAAGTCTTTGGCTTGATATACAAGACATTGAAGTCCTATATCCTTCAGAATATTATTTATGCTGGTGCTGGAGAATAAGTTGTATTCTTCCCATACAACTGCAAAAAAGGTGGCAGTTCTCTCCAAGACCAAGCCTTTTCCTCTTTGAATTAGCGGTTCTACATTCTTTACAATGCCTCTTCAGTCAGACATCCTCCGTGAAGTATGGGCATCTGAAGGGTAAGTCTATGTATATTCTCCTTAAGGAAGGATAAACTATCTTTGGCATGACATTGGCAATCTAGATCGGAAGTGAAAGAAGATTATTTTATTGGATCTTTCAGTACTGCCTCCAGTTTTGGAATGCGGTAAAACTTAGACAAGATGTCTTCAATTGACTCACCATCTCTGGGTGAATTTGCTTCTCATCTTTATGACTACTATAAATTTGCTTATCCCCTTCCTCTAGAAGGAAAGGGAAAAATCTGTCTTATTGTTGCTTGTATGCTCAGGAAGGAAAGTAAATAGTCAGGGCCAGTTGTGTGGGGGGGGGAATGGGGGAAGGGTAGTAATCTAGCTGGCCAGTAAGTCCTAAGAGTATTGATGCTTACTGGACCTGAAGTCCTTCTCAGTATCTCTTTTCTTGTAATTAAAATAATAGGAAGTTCTTAAGGATGCATTTATGAAAATGTCTATAGAGATTCTCAATCATCCAGGTCATGGTTTTCCCGAAGGTGCTTTTTCAAGAGGCAACTAGACTTTCTGGGGTTTTTTTGAAGACATTTCACTTCTCATCCAAGAAGCTTCTTCAGCTCTTGGATGAGAAGCAAAATGTCTTCCAAGAAAAACAAGACAGTCCAGTTGCCTCTTGAAAAAGCACCTTTGAGATTATGAAAATGTTAGAGATTTTCAACATTATCAATTATATCATATTTGCAGTAAATAATATTGTAGCTCCAGATGGTTTCCTATGGGTTCTTCTAGTACAAAATAAGCAAAGGGAGTGAAGTGAGAGAAATGAGTGAAAAACTAATTTAGTTTGCCAGTCTCTAAGCGTAAAGTTTGCTCTTTCACATCAACCATTTAACGGCCTGACCTCAAAACTATTTCCTAGACAGGCAGCTTGATCGACTGAAGAATTTCTTTCCTTTATTTTATCTTCATTAATTATAGCAAAGATCAATGGTGGTACAATTTCATCCAATGTTGTGAGCACTTAAATAAATAGATTGCTAAGAAAAAATTAAATTATCTGAGATGATTTGGCTGTCTTGTGATGTTTTGCTCCCATTTTAAAAAAATGAGAACTTGATTTGTTTTAAATTAAATCCTTAGATGTCGTGAGCTATAGGGAGCTAAAGAGGGGTTAGAATGGCATGCATTTGTCGGTACTTAAAGATCACTTCACTTGTCTAGTAATTAAACTTCCATATACTCCAGGGAGAAAAGAAAAATAACAACTTCAGGCCAAATTGATATGTACACAGTTTTAAAGCTACTGGTTTACTACAGCCATGGCAAACAGAGATAGTTTGGCCTATTATAAAGAGGCAGGTTTTGCTTTGTGTTATGTCCATGCTTCAAAATGTTTTGAATATCAGTCTTATCATTCTTTGATGACAAGCAGGTACGGGAGTTGTACTCTAACATATCTCAGGGTTATCAAGTTTAGAAAGGCTGGATTAAAACAGAAGAAATCCTTTCCTGGTTATGGTTGGACCCCCATCTCTATTATGAATTCACCAGATAGTGTCTCTCAGTTTGCACCCATTTGCAAAATGGAATTACTCACCTAACTTGCTGGCTTGGTATTATTGTAAGTTTCTATTGGATGCAAATTTCTCTGGACCATTCAAATGCATTTCATAAATGCTAGAGAAAACTGTTGATGTAGGTTTTACCATCTAGAAAACTATAGCTTTTCTAATATTTATTGCCGCCCCAGTGAACAAGGTGCCCTGAGTTCTAATTATTTTGGGTCTTGAACATAAGTATACTGATCACTACTTATTATGGCATTTTCATAAATGTCTTTTATTTATGAGAATGCCATATACATCCGTTATATAAGATAGTTCAGAGTTATATGGGTCAGAACTACTTTTATTGTAACAATTAAGTCTGGTGGCTTCTCCCTTCCATCCCTTTATCTTCGTGTGAACTAGGAAGGGGATTGTCTATGTTTTCTCACCTTACTTTCTTGGCCTGAGTTGAAGCCCCATTTATCCAACCGTTGCCTTAATAGCAGCTCTTCCTCCTGCCCTTCAAGGCCATTTCCTGTTTCTACTACAATATATCTCCTTCTCCCTTCTATCTACAATTTAATAGGCCACTCTTCTCCTATCTGGCTCCTGTTGTGACTAAAACACCCATGATTCTTCAATAGCATTGGCCATCAGTGAGTTGCAACAGCTTGTTTATATCCTGCCCTTCTACTGCAAAAGAAGTATTCAGGGCAACTTAAATATTATTTAAATTATCTTTCATAGAGCAGCAATGTAAGATAATCAACAAAGAGACTGCCAGGATCAGCTATTAAAAATAAAATAGAATCAGAGAGTTGGACACATATTCCTGACAGAGGTCTGGCTATCCACTCATTGCCTGTATAAATTCAGGAAAGGGGATCCCACCATGTGAAACTTGTTTTATTGGTAGATATTTTTTTCTAATATTCATTCCAAAACTGCCATCAGCTAATTCGAATCCATTAGTGCCTGTATAGTATCCTTCAACAGTGGCGAACAGTCTTAATTATATTTAGGGAAACTAACTTTAAAAAATAAAACACAAACCAGTTATGATCCACTTAAATCTCAAGCCTGGATCCAAGACAATTTCTGGGTTTACACATTGCATTAAGCCATAGTTTGTTCAAAAACTAACTAACATTGATCAGTGAAGGGGTCAACTTGCCTCTTGGGTAGAAGATTGCAAAGTTGGAATAAGATAGCCAAGAGGCTTTTGCCCCACCAAATATATTTCTATTGATATATATAGTATGCTGATCAAGGGTTCTGAGGACGAACAGAGAGTGAGCTGCATAGATCAGCATAGCCAACAGGTGGCAACAAAGAGACCCAGTTGTTTGCAATCCAGAAAAAGTCTGTGAGGAGGAAAGTAAGGTTTCAGGTATCTTGCATCCAAACTATGTAAGCTTATCAGCAATATAAAATACTTTGGGTGCCTGATATAAAAATAATGCTAGCTAGAATTGATCAGACATGGAAGATTCAGTTTAACATTTAAGAAGGGGGGAAATATCAGTGTTCAGCATGGATTTATTCATTCTGGCACACCTCCTTACATCAAGGATGAAGAACATGGAATATCAACTGCCCCCAGAGATAAGGAGAATCCAAGACCTCGATGCCTTCCGCCGTGTCCTTAAAACTTTCTTTTTTCAGCAAGCCGGGCTGGCTTAACACTTTTAAATGTTTTTAACTGGTTTGTCATTGTTTTTTAACTACGGGGCTAAATTTATATATATCTTTTAAATAGTATTATAATGTTTGTACTTTATGTTTTTATTTGGCTGTATACCGCCCTGAGTCCTCAGGGAGAAGGGCGGTATATAAATTTGATATAAAATAAAAAAATAAAATAAATTGGAATCAGTATCATAGAAGGAGAGAAGGACTAAGAAGTATGGTACATATGTAACAAATTGAGGAATGATTCCACCATATGATTGCCTAATATTGCCTATAATTTCACCTGCTAGCAACAAAATGTCCCATTGCATGAACAGTATGTGCTGTATTACTAATGTTTGCACTGCCATCTGCTGGCACATTTAGGTTTCACCTTTAATCCTCATGTTTTATATATATATATATATATATATATATATATTCTTTGATCATAGCATGTGGGTTTGGAAGCAGAACCAAATAGACATCTAATACGGTATATTCTTAAAGCTTTCAGGGAATATGCCACTCAGAGACACATTCAAGTGAGATCTATATATTTAATATATCTATATATTTAATAAATAAACAGAATAACAAAAATGTTAGGATTGTAGGTTAAGACTGAGCAATTGAAATAAAACCCCAGAACAAGGGACATCAATTATAGCAGAGGTGTCAAACTCACGTCATGGCGGCATCATGTGACATATTGAGGCTTTTCCCCCCTTCGCTAAACTAGGCATGGGCGTGGCTAGCATGTGATGCATCCAGCCCACGAGCCGGGAGTTTGACAGCCCTGAACTATAGGAATCAAATTGACTTCTGTTTCATGGAGGGTGCGATGGCCCAGATTTGTTCCATAAACATTTTAGTTTCCAATTTAAAGTAGACCTTCCCAATCCCTTATGGTGTTTTTTTTTTAATTCCCCCTTCATTAGTGCAAATGAGGAATCTGCACCTCCGAAACTTAAACAGGTAAGAAACACCTTCTTATCCAACCTTTAGATTGTTCTCATATGCCTCACATACCGCATATGCCTCTACACCATTTTGAATTTCTCTGTTTACAAATTGTGTGGCTCCTGAGATTAGAATGTTGATTTTCACACCTGTGAAGTATCATGTCTTAAAATGTCATTCAATCATCACCGTGGCTGGATAACTTGGTAATAAACAGGATTTAACATCATTAGTGTTGAAATGGCCAATAACTACATCCTGATCATTATTTCCTGCATTTCAATCCCACCCTTCCTTCAACAGGCACTTGCATAAGGTTGTTCCATAACTCAGAGCTTTATGCTGAGATCACTGTCCTTCTCATGTAGACACATATTTTTTATGGATAGGTGGGCACAATCCCCACAGTTAATCCCTGTTTATCATCCTACATTATTGCAACATCTAGCCTTAATTAGATAAACTACCTTCTGTCTCCCTGCATAGACAGAAGGCTGAGATTGCTAATCTGAACAAATTAATCTCATAAAAGAAGATTGCAGGCATCATTCACATCACCAACCCCTTATTTACAGACTCTGCACTAGCACCATTTTTCAAGCATATTTCTCAACTGCGTGACCTGCATTTGATCAGTCACAATTAATTATAGTTTATGACTAATGGGATTGACTGTAAAGTAATCTTGATCCATCTGCTTCCTCTGTGAAGTCTTTCTGAGTGACCTCAATCTTGGAGGAACTGTGGTGTTTAAGAGCATCTTGTATAGTCTCACAATCCTGTTTTAACACATAATGGAGCAATAACCGTGCAATGACCCACCTAAAGGGCATAATCAATGTAAATTTTTGAAAGCTTCACATCTCTTCAAAAGGTAAGGCACTTCAAAAAGAAGATCAAGGTGGGTGGGGTAGAGATTTTGGCCTTGAAGCCATAAAGCTTGTGTCATCAAAGTCTGTGATGTTTCACATAGATTCTAGATTTTGCTGTGATGCAAGAAATAGTTATTCCCTATTTTTAAAATTATACAATCCACCAGCACCAAATCCTCTCTCCATCTTTCAATGAAACACAGAGTCATAATCTCCCAATCACATTTATCTGAACTCCTGTATCATGTCCAGGATTATTGTAAACAGTCTTTGATACTCTTTAATAAATGTAGCCAATGGTTCAGATCTACCAACTGTGTGTGTGAGTGAGTGAATGAATGAATGAATGAATGTGTGTATTCATATCTGATCATTTATATGCTACAGCCTTATGCTATTACCATTGTGTAATAAAGGAAGGTACATGGGTGGAAAGTGGTGTCTTCTACCTCCACCCCTTATTATGTCATCTAATAGTGGGTGAGCGTGTTAATTCTTTCTGCTTCCTTGTATTTGAAAAGAACCTGTATGTGTGTGTATGTGAGAGAGAGAGGGGGGGAGAGCTGGGGGGGAGAGAGAGGGGGGAGAGGGAGAGGGAGAAGGAGGGAGAGGAAGAGAACCTAGAGATAGGCAATTCACAATAGGTGAACAATCTCCACCATCTTATCCAGGCCCATTTTTGGTTTCTCCATAAATCATACCAGCAACATTCCTAATTCAGCAGCAAACCATAAGACATAGTGGTGCAACCTTTCCTTCTTCCCTCTGTATAAAGACAAATAGTCAGCAAGGCTTTGAATGGTTTTACCCAACAACATTCCCAACCTCCAAAAAATTTAAGTGCTGTATCAAGTTGGTAGCAACTGCAGCACCCCATGTCTCCAAAACATCCAAATCCAGCCGAAAATGTGCTTTCTCACCCTAATTTTAAAATTGCAGATCACGGCTTGGAAGACACACAACCACATAACACAACACTGCCTGCATGCTTTCTTATTTATCAAGGACCTTGGTAAACCTGTCCTTGTCTAAAAGTCTTGCTTTTTTATGGTTTGCATATACTCAAGTTGATTAGCCCCATCAATTGAAAGCAAAGGTGACGTAACTGCTTTAACATTGTCCTATAAAGAAATGCACACTCTCTCCCCACAACAAACCTAAGGAATGGGTATGGGTTGCTGTACCTGGAGTCCTTCCATAGCCACTTTCACGAAGAAATAATGTTTCAGGAGTCGTGTCTCACATCACAGTATAACTTGGCTTTCATACAAACTCTGCAATTATATTTAAAACATTCTGCTTCCTCGTGTGAGTTCTTTTGAACACGTGGGCATCACTTTACATAAATAAGTAAATAGGAATCAATAACTTTCACTGCTTAAGTCTTCTTATATCAATATCGGACAGTTCCAATATTGTAGCTACAAAGCAGCAAAAAAGCTGAGGAATATTCCCAAATTTGTACTGGCTTGTTGAAAAGGATGTCACTGCAATTGGAGAGAAATAACAACTGGTCTTGCCATGACATAAGCAAATGAAGCCATCGTGTTTTCTCTGACATCTAGGCTGAGTTGCAATGTTCGGTCTCCCTGCTAGTGATATCCTTACTTGACCAATTTAATAAATAGTATCTTGTTTGTTTGTTTCTTTGCTATCAATTGGAACTCTGACTGGTAAGTTGTTTTAAGGATCATTGCTATCTTTAAACTTTGGTTATGGAATGGAATTTTCTGGGCTTTATTGTCTTCATTTGTTTTTAAATCAGTGACTCTAATAATGAGATTATGTTGTATAAACACTGCCAGTTAAATTCAAGCAAGCGTGATGGTGTTGAAAATGGTAGCAATAAGTTAAAATTTTCTACCAGTTTTTCATATAAGCACTCTAGATATTACTGTCATTCAGATGAAGGATACTCCAGATGTTTCTGCATTGCTGCCGCTTCTTCTCACATGCCTATGTGCTTTTGAAATTATTGGTGCAAGAAAAAAATATAAACATTATATTTTTTTTGTTTCCATGGAGACTGACTGTTAAATTCTGTCAGATATCAAACACAGAACATCAGATGTTGACTCCAAATACAGGGATTGAATATACATCCTTAGAAACCACTGTGGAGGGTTTTCAGTGCAATTCTAAACATATTTACCCAAAGGCAGATCTCACAGAAAATGCACAAAACTGCATCTTAAAGCAAAGTCAGATTTCTTGCCGTTGTAATAAACATTGCCTAAAAAATGTTACAAACTTTATTACTGTACTGTTTATCAAATGCTGAAATCCCCTGACAATGAAAGAAAAGGCATTATCCTACTTACATGTCAAAGATATCATCTCAGTCCTCATTGGGCTATTTAACAATCCTTAATAAAAGTTGTTCATCAAATAATTACCAAGTATTTTTGCCATATCTGGGACAAATCATTCCTACTTTTCTGTGCCACATTTCAAATTTTTATTTCAGTGTGCTGAGGTAGTGGAAATAGTTTACAAATACCGTCTCCTCAACTAATTTTGCCCTGGCTTCCAATAATTGGACAATTTTGAGTAGTTCGGAGAACCGGTAAATACGACCTCTGACTGGCCCTGCCCCCATCTATTCTCTGCCTCCCGAGGAAATGGGGATTTTGCAGTAACCTTTCCCTGGAGTGGGGTGGGAATGGAGATTTTACAGTATCCTTCCCCTGTCATGCCCACCAAGCCAAGCCCACCAAGCCACACCCACAGAACCGATAGTAAAAAAAATTTGAATCCCACCACTGCATAACGTATTATGCCAAAAGAAACCATATTATGAGTTATTATGATGTCTTGGTTTACACATCATATTAAGACAGTGGCTGAGATCCTATAACACACTGAATCAAATCCATTTTAATGTACTGAAGTTTAGTAATATGAGGCAAATCTACCCAATAAACAGCAATTCTTAGCAGAAGAAATGGAGATATAGAGCAGGTAACTAGAATATATTGTGATATTTATGTAATCTTAAGCTTTTCCCACAAAATTTTCCTACCTAGCAAATTGCTGTATAAAGTACCATATCATTACATACATGTATTTTGCACAATATATCTGAAGAATGATACATATTCATTAGTTTATGGCAAAATTCCAGCTGATACAATGAGACTAAGTAAATCCATATTACTTATTATGACTTACTATGAAACTGACTAAGACAGTTTCTTCATAGGTTTCATTAGCCATCAGAGTAGGGCTAATCATTGTGCAGCCCAAAATAATTGAAGGTTCATTAAAGATGGGCGGAGTTGCCTCTGTCCTTGTTCATCACTGTTCATAACAGGATGGTTTCACTAGGTGTAGCTCAGCTACCAAAAATCTGGATGACCACTAGATGGCAGCAAAGAGATACCTGAAACCTTAATTGATTTAATGGCTGCAGAGAGTCACAGCCCTATTTTCATCTTTTTTTTTTTTTTGCTTTTTAATTGGAAAACCCAATATCATTTGGGGGTTATAACAGCTTATTATTTGATCATTTAAAATTTAAAAACTTTAACTTGAGTTGAAAGTAATTATTATTAGCATTGCTTTCATCACCTTTCTTATTTTTATTTGCTTTTGCTTCCCATTCCCGTCTCCTTCCTCTTTTTTCTTCTTCTTTAAATTTCTAACCTTGTTGGTTAGGAAGAAAAAAACCATGATAATGTGATTATGGCTTACTTCATATGTTTTGAAAAACCAGTAACTATATTTTAAAAAATCTTTTTCACCAACTCATAATTTTAGAGGCATCAACCCTTAACTTTTAACTTGTGGGATTGGCAATAGTAGATTGGTTTTATATATTGGCTGCTTTGTTTATTTTGTAATATGCCCATGGCTGCAAGCCTCTCTGAAATTACTCATTTACTTCTCCTCCTGGTATTTGTCACTTGTAAGTAGGCCTGAGTTATGGTATCTTTTCACACTGTGCAATCATAAAAGACTGGTTTGTTCTTAGGTTTTGATTCAGAGCCAACCCTTACATCTCCCTTCTTTTTTCAGGCAACCAGTGCAGGTTACATTTGTGTGACACAAATAGACACACATTAACAAAAACAGAAGCATCCAGCACATGCCATTGTATATGTTCTCATCAGCACAGGTCAAAAGCTACAGTTCAAATACTGTAAATCAGCCATTTATAAACTCTCTCCTCAGGATAAATGTAACATTAATTTTGCTTTTTGGGTATAAATATACTCATGCATTTTCTAATAGTAAAGACTAGATAAATACACTGAAGGCAGAAAAGTTGGGAACACAAAGTTGGGACAGAGGAAAACTATCACTACAAGGCAAGATTTATAGAATCTATTTCAGATTTTTAACTTTTGGTGTAAGAGAGGGAGGGAGGGAGGGAGGGAGGGAGGAAGGAAGGAGCTGTTTTTGTGGATCCAAATGTACCAGTACATTACATCTGTCATGGACGCGGTGGCTCAGTGGCTAAGATGCTGAGCTTGTCGATCGAAAGGTCGGCAGTTCAGCAGTTCGAATCCCTAGTGCCACGTAACGGAGTGAGCTCCCGTTACTTGTCCCAGCTTCTGCCAACCTAGCATTTTGAAAGCATGTAAAATATGCAAGTAGAAAAATAGGGACCACCTTTGGTGGGAAGGTAACAGCGTTCCGTGCGCCTTTGGCATTTAGTCATGCCAGCCACATGACCATGGAGACGTCTTCGGACAGCGTTGGCTCTTTGGCTTTAAAATGGAGATGAGCACTGCCCCCTAGAGTCAGGAACAACTAGCACATATGTGCAAGGGGAACCTTTACCTTTAACTTAATGTACCATGGTCAGCTCAGGTGTCAATGGCTTGTTTGCCGATGTCCTTATCCCCTACCACTCACTATGTGGACCTATGTCTCCACACTACCCCAAAGTCTGGTATTCTGAACCTTTATTTTGAATACTGTTTCTTAGTGTTTCTCTATGCTCTTTATCAGATGCTTTGAAGCAGAGATTCCAGAGATAGAACTATTGATATCCATAGCAAGTTACAGAGGTCTATCCAACATATGATAATACTGTAAAAGCCTGCATTTTCTCTTTGAGTATTATTAAGCAATTTTTAAAAATTCTGCAGAGATTTCCAATAAATGCCCATATCTGTCATCAGAACTTTTCTCCTGTGGTCAATTGGGGGCAGATGTTTATTAAACAGAGGTACTTGATTTGTAGGAGGACACTGACGGTATTCTTTATGTAGGATAGTTATCATGTTGTGAAATTAACATAATTCAATGTAGAGACCATTTTATCATTAAGATACTGCATCTCCATCACTTTTTGCAACTTGTTTCTACCTGCAGCCACCCATCTGCTGGAGCAGAAGCTGAGGAAGAAATTGAAAGACACTACACTGGAGGCAAAGCCTAAAAAATCCAGAGTGAAAAAGCAGGAAAAATCAAGCACTGCAGAAGAAGCCAATAATGCTTCAGTTACTAGTAAGGAGAGGAGCAAAAGTTCATTATCATACCAGAAATATAGATATTGGTCCATGAAAAAGACTCAGTGCTGTTATCTTCTTATTTGGTAGCAGTCGGGCATAGAATCATGGAGCTTTCAGGCCATCCTGTTGGCAAGAAGCATGTGGGGATGGGTAATGGGAACTACTACTGCTGCATTTGTGTCAGAAGCACCTATCAAGGCGCTTCCAAATTGAAAGGATTAGCTGGTGACATCACCCAAGGGACACCCAAGGGGGCTCGTTTCATGCCCCTATTATTTTCCCATCAAATTGCACCTATTTATCTACTTGCATTTTTGCATGCTTTCAGATTGCTAAGTTGGCAGAAGTTGGGTCAAATTGATGAGAGCTCATTGCATCACAGCTTGCACTCTTGGGTTTTGAACTACTGAACTGTTGACCTCTCAATGATCTTTGGACTCAGTGCCCTAACCCCATGAGCCACTGTGTCCCCTTGGAAAGATGGCTAGGCCATACTCAGAGGTGTAACTTCCATCCTTCTCTTTCTCCTGGGTTTCTGAACAACTGAAATTTTAGTATATAGGCAAAAATATCTCTTTCTTTCAAAACAGTTGACAGATGAAAGTAGGATTGCTAATATTTTAATGTTTTCAGTTTACTAATTAATATTTATTTACTACACATGCTAGATTTATATGCTACCTTTCTTCAAGAAGTTCAAGGTAATACTCATCATAATCCTTCCTCACCATAATGACTCCTCTGTGGCTGATGGTAGACTTGAACTTTTGTCTCCTATGTTCTAGTCCAAAGCTATAGCCACTATACCATGTTGATTCTCCATAAGGTATTTCATTTAATGAAATACTGAAATATTTGTTCTGAAGAGCAATAAACACCTGATTGTATCTGCTGGAAAAAAAGATATGCATATAAGTTTAGTACATAAAGGAAAAAGAAGCAAAAATAACCAGAATAAGATCCTCCATACACCTTTGTGCAATTATACCATCAGTGGAATAGACATGATTGTAACTTTATAAATATACAGTTGTTGGTTGTTTAAATTCTTTCATTCTTATTATGACATATTATAATACATATATGTATTATATGTATAACATGTATAACATGTATAACATGTATAACATGTATAAAATGGAACACAGAAATCAAATCAATTTATACTCAAGAAAGATCAGGATTTAGAGAAAAGATCATTTAAATTTTGTAGGTGAAAAGATGGGACTTTCAGCCAACTATTTGCCATTGTCTCATCTAAAAGAAAACAAAATGGGACAATATCAGAAAAGAAAATTCACATGTCAGAATTAGGTTCCATCTGAATCCCTGAAGAGTAAGGAAGAAGCCATTTAAAGAGTAAGAGGGGCTAAACTTCCCCCCCCACCCATAATTTTAAACTATCTCCAATACAGATGTTTCTAGTTTTACTGGTAAAATGCTAAGACTAGTGGTACTTGCTGTCCAAAAGAGGAAGGAGTATTTTCAATGGGTAAATCTTGACTGAAATGGCCTTCGGTGGCTAGTTTGGTACTTTGGATCCCCCAATTTTATGGGAATCTCTCCTGAACGTGTTCGAAAATGCTGTTTTCCCATCAAATGTGATCTTAAGAGTGATCAGCTCCTAAGAGTGCAGATACCATATTGTAGTCAAATTCATTCAGCAAACACACATTAGCCGGGGCACATCTTTTTGTCTCAATAATCAACACAGGTCAAGCAAAACATAGAACAATCTAATTTGATCCCAAAAGTCAAGGTATTTGCTACTTTTCCAAAGCCATTCCATTCATCCAGGGGTGAAATGCTCTCGGTTTGGACCGAATCAGGCGATCCAGTAGCGATTGTGGCAGGTGGTTCGGAGAACCGGTAGTGATGGTGGCACGAGACTCTGCCCACCCGCCTGGATGTCATTACTTCCAGCTTTTAAAAGGTTAAAAAAAAGGCTCTGACGATCTGATTCCACAGCTGTGATCGTCAGAGCCTTTTTTTACCTTTTAAAAGCATTTTTTACAACCTATTCGCCAAATAGGTTGTAAAAAAATGCTTTAAAAAAGCAAAAAAAAAAAAGTTGACCATGCCCACCCAGTCACATTACCCTCCACCAAGCCATGCCCACAGAATCAGTAGTAACAAATTTTACATTTCACCACTGCATTCGTCTCATTGTTAGTATTGTACCTGTATTATACCCCGTCCTTCATTTCTCAAATACCTGTCTTGACTCTAGTGTCTTTTCCTAAGCTCTTGTCAGAAATGTAAAAAAAACTAAAAAGGAGAAGCCACGAGAACAGGATGAGAAAGTTACATACGCCAGATTAATTAAGGATCCCAAAAAAGAGAAGGAAACCTCTTCTTCTCGCTCCAGCATCAGCAAGACACCAAAAAAGAAACACGGTAAGGTACCACCAGCTCCTGGCTCTTATGTTACAAGTAAGGACTTTTCTGTTGAACAGAAAACTTTAAGATGTATGGACTTCAACTCCCAGAATTCCACAGCCAGCAGGGAGATGGAACATGGAGAATGGAACATCAGTGGGAGTGGACATCATTGTGGGAGTTGAAGTCTACACATTTTCAAATTGCTGTTTCATAGGCAAGCTTGAAAACCATTGGTGTACAGTCAAAAAAATTTTTTTTCTACCTGTAAATTTACTTTAAAAAAAAAAATCATCACAAGTGTGGAAACTGTGCTTTTCCAACATCATGATTGCATTTTTAAAAATGTAAAAAATATTAATTTAATCTCCAACCTGATGAAATGGAAAAATTCTGAAAATATAGTATTTCCTCTCTCATGGACACCTACATGATATGGTCAAAAAAATCAAAATGGCAGCCAGGACAATATAAACACATATAAAAATGTGTTCCTTCCAGGTGAAAACGTATGTTTTTTGACCACATTTTATAGACATCTCTGCTCCTAATCTATCCAGTAGCACACATGGAGTGAAAGTATCATGCAAATTTTATTTCTTTATCGATCGATCGATTGATTGATTGATTGATATGCTGCCCATCTCATCTAGAGGTAACAAATGAGATAAATGTAATTGTGAAATTGCAGTGATCTGTGAACAAATCCTTCATCATTATAACAATAGCTACTGCCAAAGCAGAACATGAACATTGTTAGCTCTACAACTAACAGAATCTATCTGTATGCAATATTTCTGTTTTCCCCTTTTAATTGCTTGGAAACATTTGCATTTTTAATTTTCTATCTATTGATCTCTACTTATTCAAACTTTTAGAAGAGTCTGATGATGAAGATGAGGAGGAGGAGGAGGAAGAGTGGGAGGAAGAGGAGGAATCTGAAATTGAAGAGCCACCAAAAATGCCCAAAAGAAAGCTCGTCAAAGCTACTTCATTGGACAAAAGTAAAGTGAGGAAGGCCAAAAGTAAAGGTAAGCTTGAATTTCAGGATCATTTAACGGTCATAGACAAGTTGGCTTAGATGTGGTTTCATCCAGTGGTGAAATCCTCCGCGGATTGCCACCGGTTCGCTGCCCATGCATGCATGGTGCTCTGTAAATGTGCACCGTACACATGCATGTGCAGTGCATGCCAAAAGCACACTGCATGCACACATGCGCAGTGCACACCAAAAGCATGCTGTGCACGCATGCACAGTGCATACCAATAGATTTATATTTCTAGTGAATATAAATCAAGCGACACAGCTGATCATCGGAAATACCGGAATACCAGTTCGGATGAACCGGTAGCTTTTTTTTTAGCTTTTATCACTACTGGTTCACCCGAACCGGTGCAAACCGGTAGCATTTCACTACTGGTTTCATCTCCAGTTTAATAATTAAACTATTCCCTAAAAGCCCTTGGGAAACCATACACATAAGCTGCTACCTATAGAATAGATATAGCCAGAATGAAAAGTTTGTTTCTGTTTTCTAGTGCTTTGGATAAGTGGACTTTTCAATGTGCATGTTTTTAAAACTGGTTAAAGTTAAAAATATTTTTAACTGTTGTGGAATTTGCTTTTTAAGCGACTACTCTGCAAGTTTAGTTAGACAAAAAGAGTGGAAAAATGTTATGACATGGGAGGACCTCCGCAAATCTAATGTCACGAATAGGCCTGAGATTCCACACAAGATGGGAAGACATTCATAACAGCAAACAACAAGAAGATGTAAAACAAGCAATCACTTTCCTCCTCTAGAGCTAAAAGCGTAACTTCCTCTCTCCCTTCACCTGAATGTTTATTTATTTAGCATATTAGGAGCCCTGGTGGTGCAGTGGTTAGAATGCCGTATTGCAGGCAAACTCTGCCCACAGCCTGGAGTTCGATCCTGAAGGGCCTCAAGTTGACTCAGCCTTCCATCCTTCTGAGGTCGGTAAAATGAGGAGCCAGACAGTTGGGGGCAATATGCAAACATTATTGCCCAGACAGTGCTGTAAAGTGCTATGAGGCAGTATATAAGCCTAAATGCTATTGCTATTGCTATATTTGTATCCTATGCAACCTCCCCCTCGTGACTCCATTGGTTTATGGTATATAAAATTACAGCAAGTAAAAATAAAATTAAAAGAAACTTACAAAGACCTTTCTGCTTGGATGCCCTTGGGGAGGAAATATGTTTCTTGAAAGCTGCCCAAAAGAAAGTGACTACTTTTGAAACAGTAGCACAGTTCTCTGAGTCCCAGCCATGGGTGAAATCCAGCAGGTTCTGACAGATTCCGGAGAACCGGTAGCGGAAATTTTGAGCAGTTCGGGGAACCGGCAAATACCACCTCTGTTTGGCTCCAGAGTGGGGTGGGAATGGAGATTTTGCAATATCCTTCCCCCAGGAGTGGGGAGGGAATGGAGATTTTGCAGTATCCTTCCCCTGCCACACCCACCAAGCCACGCCCACAGAACCGGTAGTAAAAAAATTTGGATTTCACCACTGGTCCCAGCCCTCCAATTTCCATCAGGGTGGGCACCTAATGCATTCTTTCCATGTTAGGCTGTGCAAGGTGAGCAGATTGTATTTGGAGAAGGTCTGGAATGAATGAAGAATGAATATCTGGAATGCAGGAACTGGGTATAGGTAGTCTAGAGAAAACAAGCACTAGGGGTGACATGATAGCAGTATTCCAGTATTTGAGGGGCTGCCAACTTATTTTCCAAAACACCAGAAGGCAAAAATAAAAGGAACAATGGATGGAAACTAATCAAGGGCAGAAATAACCTGGAATTAAGGAGAAACTTCCTAACAGTGAAGGCAATTAACCAGTGGAACATCCTGCCTCCAGAAGTGGTGGGTGCTTCATCACTGGAGGTTTTTAAGAAGAGCCTGGACAGCCACTTGTCTCAAATTGTATAGGGTCTCCCGCTTGAGCAGGGGGCTGGACTAGAAGACCTCCAAGGTCCCTTCCAGCTCTAGTCTGATTGAATGAATGAAATGAGGGCCCCATCTGTACAGCCTCAGAAAGCTACTGAGAGCCCATGTAACAAACTCGCTCAGCAAGCAGGCAGATAGACTCTCTCTACCAGCTGCAGTTTCTGAGTTACTTCACATGAAGCAAATTGCAGACTTCTGAAAGATGACAAGGGCATGAGTCATAGTCTTCAGCAACACATATGTCATAGAATTTTAATAATAGAAGAGGACTTCAATTAAATATTGTTTAATGTTTATTGTTCTTCCTGATACATACTAATGACTGTAATTATACTTGATTATATAGCGATATTGCTCAGATCTTTCATGCAAAGTACCGGTGATAGACCATTTTCTGTCTGAAAAACTACTTTATTATTTGGATAAGGAGGATGAACAAATGGAAGATTGCGACTTGAAATGAAAGAGTACATGATAAAGAGTAGGACTTAATAAATGGTAACAAACAAAAACAGTTGTATATCTGTACAGGTTATCCTCAACCTGCGGCTGGTTGCTTAGCAACCAAAGTTATAACAAATCCCCCAAAAGCTAGTTATGATCCAATTTTGAAGTTATGACAGCTGCACTCCCATGGTCACATGATACGGTAGCTTTTCAGAACCTGGCAACCAGCTCATCTTTACAGTCATTTGCAGCATCTTGAGGTCACATGACCACAATTTTTGACTTTTTGTGCCAATTTCTAGCCTTTACTTCCAATTTCTGGCAAAAAAAAAAATCATCACCCATTGGGTAAAATGGAGTTGCTTAATGGCCATAGTATTTGCTTAATGATTCCTTTTTTAAAAAAAATAGTATTTATTCAATTTTCAAACATTAAAATACACAGTACAAAAAATAGAAAAGAGCAAAAAATAGAAAACCATAACAACAACAAAAACAATCAAACAAAAATGAACACATCAAAACTTAAACACTAGTAACAGTTTTTCTACATCGGTATCTCTATCCTAATTAACTTTCATACACAAATTCTACTTCTATCTATCACTGTCTTAACTTACATCCTTATCTAAGTTATAAGAACTTCTATTCACAATTCAGTTTCATGACAAAGTATCGCTTACGTTTTAGATTTACTCTCAAACCAGGAATACAATCTATTCCAAATTAAATAGTACTCGGTGTCTTCCTTTTCCTTAATTTCCATAGATAATCTATCCATTTCTGCACATTCATATATTTTTTAAACTATAATTTGGTCTGGGGGGATATCCAGTTGTTTCCAATTTTGTGCTATGACAATTCTACTCGCAGTTAGTATATGTAATATGATATATTATAATTTTTTTCCCATTTTCCCTTCCAAAATACCCAGGAGGAATAGTTCCGGTTTTCTTTCTATCTTCTGCCCAGTTATCTCTTCCAGCCATTTTTTTATCTTCCACCAAAATTTCCTAATCTTAGGGCAGGTCCACCACATGTGGTAGAACATCCCTTGGTTGTGGCCGCACCTCCAACATTCCAGGGACCTGGGAATGATTCTTATTCTCATTCTTTCACCTTGGACAGGAAACAAGACGGAAGCTGGTATCAAGGCAGCAACTACAAAGACTCTGAAAAAAGACTCAACCTCTGTCTTCCACGTGAATGAGGATAACAAAGGCAAACGTGTCAAAAGCAAAGGTGAAAGGCTTTACATGTACATCCATATTTGCTCCACTGACATTACAGGCCCATTGTTTAAAAATGCATCTGTCTAACAATATGTGCCATTCTGGATACTAACTGTTGATAATGAGGCAGAGAAGTTATCACAATTGGATTTATGATTACGTGTGTATGTATATGTGACAGAGAATCTGGGGAAGACAGTAGATGTGACTGCACTTTAAATATGTGTGTGAATAGAAAAAAGGGTTGGAGCTGGTATGTGAATACTGTATATGGGATGATGGGGAGGAGGATATGGTGCCACACTTGTCTGTATCCCCAAATAGGGTAGGTATGACTCCACTGGCTTCAGCCAGATCCAGTAAAATGCAGTCTCTGGTGTATCATTGCATGGTGCCTTTAGAGGTAATCAGACTGCCCCCCAAATCCCTTAGAAAGGTTCACTCGTGCAATCTATGAAGTACATTTGTTTCCTATCTTTGTAAGTGCACGAAGGATTCAAAAATTACTCTAGAAGTAACTATGAGCAGTTTGTCAAGGCTCTGACTAATGAACCCAAGCAAACCAGAACTCTGAGACTTGGCTCCTTCTCAAAGGTCTTCTTTATTGAGTACATCATATCGGCACAGCTTCAATGGAAAACCAATTCTAAATCTTCCCTGTGGTTTCAGTATAATTAAACTAGGAAATAACTGTATCCCCAAGTGTCACAGGTCACGTTGGCCAATTGGATTAATTGGCAGGCTCTTCAGGCACTCCTTCCCCAACCTTGTCTGTTGCCAGTAGAGACGACCTTGGTTCTCACGAGAAAGCTCCTTGTTGTGTCTAGTAATGCATTGCAACCTCCTTCCCCCTGCGTGGCAACTGAAGAACAGAGAGATGGCTGCGGCCAGGTTCGGTTCAAAGTTGACACAGTTCTTAGAATTCCTCATGATGTCACTGTTGAATCGAACATCAAGTGACATTACTTGGATAAATCATCTTTTCAGAGGATTCAGGACATATCTGCTAGGAAATTAGGTATTAATAGAAATAATCTATTAATTTCTACTAGAAATAATCTGATTAATTTCTCCCTGGATTAAAAACTTCTCACTTAATAACTGTAGTGCTAAAAAATAGCGACACAGAAGATGATTCCAGTTCCAATGCCAAGTCAACCAAATCGGCGAAAAAGAAGAGTGCGGCGTCCATGTTTCAGACTGGAGGAGAAGGCCTCAAGGAGAAGAAAGCTAAAAAGAAGGGTAGGTGCAGCATTTGCTGATAGAAATACCGAAAGGAGATACATTCACTTATTCAAATGACCTCACACTCAGAATGCTTAGTACTGATGTGCTATAAGTGAGAGTTGTGATTCATCGTGCTCTTATTTCTGTTATTTTGAAAAATCCCCACTTAGATAGTCAGAGACTTCTTGCTACTTGCTGAAACTAAAATCAATATGCAAGCCTTGTTATCTGGTCCGTCAGTGACAGCTGCAAATTAGGAGCAGAAACAGAACTTTTTTTGAAGTGACCCAACATTTGTGAGATATCTTTCCATAGAATACACAACGTGCTTCCTCTTTAGCAATCTTTAGGACAGGGTGCAAAAAGTACAGACTAATTACCGGTATATCTTTTTGGGGGCCTCTAGAGCCTGCAAAATAGATGAGGGCACAAAACGGAGCAGCTTTTTGCATTTTGAAAGGTTCAGTTTTTGCTTTAAAGGGGGGAAATTCAAGTCTTAAAGTTTGCAAATACTCTTTCATTCTTAAATTCTGGAATTGCCACTAAGATACATGTTCTGTCCTTCTCTTTACCATGCCTATAGACCGTGGCCTTTGAGCCAAAGGTGAATTGTATACCTTGCTTTAAAATGACATTCAAGACATATTTATTACAGGCACCATTTACGTAGTTAATTATACTGTAACATGCGTCTCACTAAGGTTTTATCTGGTATTTATCTTTATTTGTTTCCTGCTTGTTATATATACTATGTATTTTGTATCTGAAGCATATTGTAACTCACTTGGTAAAGGTGCTTATCATTTTTTTTAAAAAACAGGCTGAAAATCTGTTAGGTAAAGTAAAGGCTGCATCCTCAGATCAGTGACAAAAATATTTGCTTTTCTGTCAGTGACAAAATGGGAAAAGGAAATTCTGAGATTGCTGATGAAGGATAATCTAGATCAGTGGTTCTCAACCTTCCTAATGCTGCGACCCTTTAATACAGTTCCTCCTGTTGTGGTGACCCCCAACCATAAAATTATTCCTAAAACCATTGAAAATATGTGTTTTCCAATGGTCTTAGGCGACCCCTGTGAAAGGGTCATTCGACCCCCAAAGGGGTCCCGACCCACAGGTTGAGAACCACTGATCTAGATGTTGCTGTCATCTGTATAACTATCAGGTGGTTGCTAAAATCTTTTTTTCCACAGTTCCTGCCAAAACCATGGAAAATGAAAGCAAGGAAGAGGTAGTCCATAAGAACTCCAACCGGAAAGGGAAAGTCAAGAAATCCAAAAAGGTAACTACTGAGAGATTCCTAAAGGATGAAGCCAACGTCCTTGGCATATTAGAGCAGAAAATTGGGATTCCTGTCCTATACATTCATATTCCCAGCTTCCCTAGTTTATATCTCTAATATTGCTGTTTGATTTTACTCATTATTTATGAATCAATTACAGGTAGTCCTCACTTATTTACTGCCTCCTTCAGCAACGGTTTGAAATTACAAGGGTGCTGAAACAGTAGGTTTACGACTTACGGTTCTTGAACTTGTAGCTTTCGTTAGTGTCCTCGTGGTCACATGATTGTGATTCGGATGTTGCATGCATTTACAAAAGTCACAGCATCCTCCAGTCATGTGATTGCCATTTGACACCTTCACGGCCAGTTTCTGACAAGCAAGGTCAGTGGTGAAGCCTGCAGGAAGTCCACAAGTTGCAGTCATGTAATATCTCGTTTAGCAACCTATGCTGATTTGCTTCATGACCACAGTGGAACCAACCCTGTAAGTCCAGAATGGTCCATGACATTTCATTTTACAATTGCAACTATTATCAGTAAACAAGGACTACTTCAGTAGTGGGTTGCTCCCGGTTCAGACCGGTTCTATAGAACCAGTGGTAAAACCGGAGGAAGGCTCCACCCACTGAGCCTGATGTCATCAGAACGCTTCTGCGCATGCGCAGAAGAGCGTGTGTGCAGCCCCGTTACAAACCAGTAGTAAAGGTAAGTAGAACCCACCCCTGGACTACTTATACACCTGAAAGTTCCTTTTTACACATTGGAATCTGCCCTGATACTTTGTTACAACGGCAGATAAATTTTTGAAATAAATGAATAACTAAAGAAGAGATTAATCCCAGCCTCCATCTTCATTTCATTCTCTCCCACACTTATGCAACCCTGCATTTTGTCATCATCTGCTTTCAGGACTGCACCAGTGGTGGGTTCCGCCTGGTTCCGCCCGGTTCCGCCAAGCCGGTAGCGGTGATGATATGATGTCACTGAACCGTTTCTTCCCCCCCACCCTCCCGCCCCCCCCCCCCCCACCCCCCCATCCCCCCGTGTTATTTTTACCTTTTATTTGGCCCCACCCCCAATCTATTGCTGCCTCTTGAGTCCCAGATGATGGCTAGAGGGAAAAAAATTGTTTAAACTCTTGCCGTGGGGCTTCAAAGGGCCGCCCTACAGCTGATCAGTGTTAAAAGAAAACAAATGAGTAGACCGGTGCCTGCAAAAATACATGGGTAGACCAGTGCCTGCAAAAATACATGAGTAGATCAGTGCCTGCAAAAATAAATGGGTAGATCAGTACAGCTCTGCAAGCAGTTAAAAGCCTGGTAGACCAGTACCTCTGCTAAATCCTAAATAATTGCCACATGACCATCAAGCCACGCCCACAAAATAAGCCACGCCCACAGAACCAGTAGTAAAAAATTTTAGAACCCACCCCTGGACTGCACACATCAGAGTAAGAGAAAAAAGCACCTTTCAGAAACCAGCTTTTGGATACTATGGGACCTACTATGTCAGGAAGAACTATCATAGACACAGATGATTGGGTTGTGATACATGAAGTATCATCATTGCAATCTTCAAAACAAACAATGATGGTTTTGTAGTGGCCATGCTGGAATGCTTAGGATAAGAGATTTTGAGGAGAGGGGGGTAAAAAAAAAAACCCAACATCCTCTTTCTCTTATTTCTGAACTACAGAAAGAAGAAAGGCCACCTTCTCCAGTCATTGAAGAGGACAATCTTGAGGAATTTGTGCTGCAGCCAGCTCCTCATGGAATGACCATCAAGTGTCGTCTCACTCGAGACAAAAGAGGAATGGATCGTGGTCTCTACCCTACCTATTACCTTCATCTTGATAATGACAAAAAGGTGCGTGATTAAAGGAAGCAATCTTGCCTTAGTGCAGAGGTCTCCAATCTTGGCAACTTTAAGCCTGGTGGACTTCAACTCCCAGAATTCTGGCTGCAGCAAAGCTGGCTGGGGAGTTCTGGGAGTTGAAGTCCTCCAGGCTTAAAGTTGCCAAGGTTGGAGACCCCTGCCTTAGTGAATATGCAAAGTTTGCCCCATATGTTTATATTTAATATAAAATTACACCCTCTGTCTATCAGGCACCAAAGGCAACGTACAATAAAAATAGAGCCCATTAAAAGCCCATGCAACAAAAATGATCCAGCAAAACCATGTGATATTAAGACCCCCAGTGGCACAGAAAGTCTTTACTGTAAAGCAAGTTGAAGGTGTTAAATTCTCCTCTCTGTCTTTGGAAGAAGAGAACCTCAGTCAGGGTACTGTTGTGGAAAAACACAGCAAAATGCCAATCTTCTCTCTCTCTGGGTCTTAGGCAGTTTGATAGGTTAGGAAAGCCTCTGATTCTGTTCAGACATTACAGCATGGCTCATAAGAAAGAAGACTGTCCTTTAGGCATATAGGAATGGATAAATGGGATGCTAAATATATCTCCTCTGAGAGAGATCTAATGTCAGCCTGTTTCAGTGGGCCAAAGAAGAAACGGTCTTTATGAAAATGGAACCAGTGTATGTAAATCATAGAAAATGGGACATGAAGATTAATTTTCTCTCCCCCCCCCAACCCCCGCTACAGTCTTAGCAAAAAGAAAAGAAAAACCCAGCTGTTTTGCATGTCAGCTGAAGGCTTTTTGGAAGAGAAAATTGAGAGCTTCTGTTGAAATGCAGATAGGAGATTCAAAGGGAGTTTTAATCTACACATCCCTGTAAGAGATATCTAGAACCTAAATTATAAAAATAGAGTTCTAGGAATGTTGTAATAATGAATATACCAGGGGTGAAATCTACTTACCTTCCTTACCGGTTCAGAAGCACATGTGCCGCGCGCGCACGCTTTCTTCGCTCGCTCGCGTGCACATGTCATGCACGCGCACACCTTCTGTTAAAACCAGGAAGTAGTGATACCCAGGCGGTGATCACTACCGGATCACCGAACCACAGGGAAAAATCACTACCGGATCGGGCGATCCGGTCCAATCCAGGAGCATTTCACCCCTGGAATATACTAATGCAGGTTTCTCAAACTGGGGAATGAGTTGAGCAATTTTCAGGGGCAAAAATCAAAGCCAGGAATGACGTTTGGCAGCACCTAACAAGCTGGTTTTCGAAGGTAAAGCAGAGAGCAAAGCCCTGAGCAAGTTTTGCCAGGGGCTCCAGCTTTGCCTGGGCAAACCTGATTTGTACAGTCAAACTGGACCATTGTCAAAACTCGATCCCATTTTGCCTGGGCAAGCCCACAGAAAGCAGTTGGCACTGCACAACTGGAATATGTTGCATAAATTATATTATGTAAGTAAAATATTAATGGGATCATTAAAATACAATGGCTGTTTGGTTCTTGCCCTATCCTAACCCATATGAAATCATTTGTTTTATTCCTGTGTGGATTACACAAATTAATTTATCGTGCCAAGGGATTGCAGTGTGGTAAATACTGTGATCCCTAAACTGGATGAGATTATCCATAATTGAATGTGTCAGCAGGTGCTCCTGAGGAGTCACTGTACCAATGTAAATCAGTACAGATCTGAACACTGTGATTTTAAAGGATGTCTGTAAAGCAAGCAAGGGAGAAGAGATAAAATGGTGAATTCCACCATGCATTCATGCATCATCCTTTCTATATGTGTGAGCCTCATAAGTGGATAGGAAGGGGTGGAGCTTTCATTGATGTTTTAGACTTGGAATAACTTTATTGTCACTTTAAATGTACACTAATTGGCATACATTAAAATGAAATTTCATTGCATACAGCTCTCAGAGAGTCACCACCACTACATAAACATGACAAATAAATAAATAAATAAACAAATAAATAAATAAATAAATAAATATGCATATACCCACATATATTATATGACACAGAGAAACAACAAAGTCTAGTTTGGATGTACACATGTACATGGCGAGAAAAATGAATCTTGTGATTTTACCAGACGGATTTGCTCACTAATTTGATCCCCATGAATCCCACTTTTGGGCATCCTTATTTTGAAAACAAATGTAGAAAAGACATCCCCAAGTTTCCATGCTTAGCCATAGAATCCAGCAGACCAGGCATACATGATCCTGAACATCAGAGAGGATGTGAGAACAGCAACCAACCCAACTGTCCCCTGCAATCCAACTTTAACCAGAGGTGATTGCTGGTTTTGTTGTTGTTATTATCTGTTGACAACAGTGTAAAGTCACAACTGCCAGTTTTTTAGCTTTGTACTTTCCAAGAACCTAGGATGTTGCAATATAGCAGCGTAGTATACGTGCGAATCCGAGCAAGGTGGCCTTTTACAATTGACAGATGGAATTTCTTGTCCAGATTTTCTAAGTGCCATCTAAGATTTTTCGGTGTAGCAGACTGAGATGAACTATTGTTAGTTCAGAAACAGTTTACTTTCATGGATCTTCTATCAATTGCTCTAGATGGGTTTGAACTTTTCTGAAAGAATTAATGTGTAATTTGGGGTTCTCCTAAACTAATAGCATCTGCTGCAAAAATGGTCAAAGCTGTAACTAGGACAGCATTTAACCAGTTCAGTGGATCCACCAGTTGTGCTTGTTCCAGAACCAGGTCGTTCAGCAGAAAAAAATTATCTTACAGAAGCTGTACTGTTTGTCTGTAGGCTTCTGGGCCCAATTCATGGTGTTGATTGCTACCTATAAAGCTCTACACTTTCCCTGGATGAGAAATGGAGAAGCATGTTTTAAAGACGAAGCAGCTCCCATCTTCCTGCCCCCACCCTTTGTCAATGGGCCAGAGGCAGAAACTCAATCTTTGTCAATGGACCATCATCTGCAACACAATAGGACCCATCTAGCAACAGAAACTAACACAATAGGACCCATCTAGCAACAGAAACTCACCACATGGCACCTGGGAAGATTACATCAGCCAGCAAGGCTAGCTAAGACCCCCACCCACTGGGAGTCTGACAACCAATTAGGATACTCTTTCTGGGCCCCAGGAAGTTCAAAGCCAGAGAGGACATAAAACCCGAGGACTCACTGCGTCTCGTCCCCTTTTCTTTTCAAGAACTCAAACCATGTGATCCTGTCCACCATTAAACCATCTTTCCAAGCAGTCTCCATGTTTCCAGTGTCTTTTTCCCCACTTGGAGCTGAACCCAGAAGGATATTTCTTCCAACAGTTTAATTTGTTGTGCAAAACTTCAACCATAGTAATTAAAAATGAAGGAAATTATGTATTGTAAGAAAAACCAATGGCCTGATTTCTTTAAAAACATCATATTTTATATTTACAATTAGATATACTTTGGATGTCTCTTTTTTCCCTTTTGTTCCCCCTTCCTGCCCCTGCACAATAGTTTAGTATAGCAATTTCTTTTTCCCTTTTCTGTAGATAATATTTAAGCGTATAATATTTTATTATATACTTTAAGGAAGAAACTGTTATATGCATATATTTGTGTACACACAGAGAGAGAGCTACATGCATACACACTGTAGCTAATGTTTTTCAAGAAATGTTATTTGTAATGTTTTCAAGGTTTCATACCTCATTGTTTAAGAAGAGAGGGTGCTGGGAGTCCCCAATCCTAGAGAGATAAGGGCACAGTGGGAAACGAATGCAGTTCTCAGAGATAGAGGGGGTCAGTTCTCCCCTGGAACTCAGGAGACATCCCCCCATACACACATTCATTTTTTAGGAACCTGGCAGTCCTCCTCAATAAGATATTAGGTGGAGAAAATTTTAATTGAAGACAGCAAATAGGCATTATTCTACATTGATTTTTAATGCATATATTTTGTATGTCATCTACAATTGAACAAGTAGGTGGTACAAGGAATGTAATAAATAGGCTGAAGAGTGGAAAGGACACTGTAGATGCTATGGTTGGAGACTGTGGCTAGTAAATTAAGATGTGTTGATTTCACATACCAATGCTGTGCTTTTCGGATCTCCTTTTTTTCACTTAGATCTTCTTGTTGGCTGGTCGAAAACGTAAAAAGAGCAAGACATCTAATTATCTGATTTCCACTGATCCTACTGACTTGAGCAGAGATGGGGAGAACTTCATTGGAAAGCTAAGGTTAGGATTGTTTCATCAAAGTGATTTCGAAAAATCTAAGATATTATGCCAGGAACAATTCCAACAAATTTCCCTGTAAATACTGTACAGTTTGGCAGATTAGGTGGTTTTTTTTTAATATGAAACAGAACAGATACAGAGACTATATACCATGTTTGTTTTTCCCACACAAAACTCTTTAATTGTACAAAAGTAAACTATCTTCTTCTATTATCTTCTATTCCTATCTTTATTCTATTGTCTTAAGCCATAAGTTTACAGCTTTTCTATTTCTATTTTTATTTAATCTTTAAGTTTCTATGTTCATGTTCTTACTTTTGCACTGTTTCCTTATCTTAACTATTCAGCCCAGTCTCAGTCTATTTGCATGTGAAACCCCCTTTCACTCTTTTATACACTTGGGAATGGACTTTTCTCTCCTCCACCCCCCACCCCCAGCCCCACCAGTACTCATCATCCATTGTTTCTTCATTCAATCAATTAGAATAGAATTTGGAGGTCTTCTAGTCCAACCCCCTGCTCAGGTAGGAAACCCTACACCACTATTAGCAAACCTTTTCGGCATCAAGTGCCGAAACGGGATTGCACACATACGCACGGGGGAGCACCAGAAACCGGAAGAGCAGTTCCCCGGCAGGAAGCTGAGCTTCCAGTTTCCAGCATGCGCATGCGCGCCAGTCACCTGGTCTTCTGGTTTCTGGCACATATGCGCCCACAAAGGCCAGTATGCGTGCCAGAAAGCTGCTCTTCCAGTTTCCGGCACTCCCTTGCACGGGAACCCAGAAGAATAATGGGCGACGGCTGGTCTGCCCGGAGAGATGGCTCTGAGTGCCACTTCCGGCATACGTGCCATTGGTTTGCCATCATGGCCCTAAACCATTTCAGACAAGTGGCTGTCCAGTCTTTTCTTAAAAACCTCCAGTGATGGAGCACCCACAACTTCTGGAGGCAAGTCATTCCATTGATTAATTGTTCTGTCAGGAAATTTCTCCTTAGTTCTAGGTTGCTTCTCTCCTTAATTAGTTTCCATCCATTCCTTCTTGTCCTGCACCTGGGCTGCTGCAACCAGTGGGCTTGGTTTGGTTGTCAGGCTCACTTGGGGTTTGCAAGACTCTAGTCGGGCTCTTTTCCTTCCCCGTCTCTCAGTTCTGCTTTTCATCAGTTTTGCAGCTCCAAAATTGAAGTTTTCTCTTGCTGTCTCTCAGACTCCTGCTGAGGTGTTTGACTTCGGGTTGGATTTTCTCTTTCCTCAGAGAAAGAATTTTCTGTGTTTCTGCTGTCCTCTTGGATTCTTTTCTCAACACACCCAGGCACCACACGCAGGCTTGTTTTCGATTTTCTCTTTTATAAAACAGTTCCCCGATTAAGGAGGGGATGGGGCTGTTTTACCCTCCTATGCAGGTTGCACCAAAACTTTGGATCCCAGACAGAAAGAAATGCTTGCTCACTCCAGGTGGTGACTTCACTTTGCCACACAGATAAAAACCCTGGATATTTGAGAACACTTGGGAAAAATGTAAAATTATGAAAAATATGTACAATTTGCCATACTTTAACACTGTTCTATGTAATTTTTTCCTCTTTCCTTAGTCCCGTGATGGCGAACCTATGGCACGGGTGCCACAGGTGGCACGTGGAGCCATATCGGTGGGCATGTGAGCTCAGCTCCAGCACTCATGCGTGCGCTGGCCAGCTGATTTTTGGGCCTTCTGGGCCTACCAGAAGTCAGGAAACACACTGTTTCCGGCCTCCAGAGGGCCTCTGGGCAGGTGGGGAAGGCTGTTTTTGCCCTCCCCAGGCTCCTAGAAAGGCTCTGGAGCTTGGGGAGAGCAAAAACGGGCCTACCGGGCCCACTGTGCCATCATGTGTCAAAATCGGGGGGAGCATGGGGAGGCGGGGCACATAGAATTATGGATGTGGGCACGCGTGCGTGTGACCCCACTGCGCTCCCACTGCTTTTGGCACACGATGGCAAAAAGGTTAGCCATCCCTGCCTTAGTCATTTGGAAAAGTATGCACCATTATAATGTATGTATTCTTAAGCTATTGTTGTGAGAGCAAAACATCGCACCCATCTTTCTTACTATTTGCAAGAGAAGGAACATTCACAACATTGGCAAGTCAATTCAGGGACATTTTAGAATGCCAACCGTCTTGCCCCTATGGCTCTGGGGGTTTCAATGGACAGATATATGCTGCCCGTGCCATTAAAAACCCTTCTGTGCAATACAGTGGTGGGATGTATCAATTCAAGTTTTTATTTACTGATGCAGTAGTTCTTAGCACAGATAATTAAGCAGATCAAGAATGTAAATTAAAGTGTCTTGAGCCAAGGAGAAACAAATCTCGACTACAAAGCAGATCATATCACAGTTTTTTGCTGGAACAAAGAAACAAATGCCACTCAGTGAATCACTTGTCTAGGACAGAAAAGCTCGCAAGCAACATCTCTTCTTCATCACAGACATTAGAATTGCAGTCATAGTCATTGTGTTGCCGTTTCACACCATTCTAAGTTAATTGCCTGAAGTGATCTCAAACTTTACCAAATATTCTACTCAACCCATTACAGATTTGCTAGGCAATCTAAGTGGTTTAATAAATCTTATCTTTACAGAACTGTCATTTGGAGAGGGAATGTTGTAGATTTCTAACAGTTTTTCACAGTTTCCGGGGGAAAAAATAGAACAAAAAATACCTATAGTTTCCAGGGAACTGTATTTGGGAAGCAATAGTCCAGCCACCTCTGGCCTAGTGCCCTCCAGATGTGTTTGGATTCCAATGTTGAGTATTCTCGGTCATAGCCTCAGGCTGTGGAAGCTGTCAGATGTTATAAATGTGATGTTACTTCATAATAAATTTTGAAGGCTCAATATGTAAATATTAATAATTTTTATCTATACTTTGTGACATTTTATATTTAATATAATTTATTCTGAGCAGAACTGAAAATCTGATTTGGTAAATGCTTCCTTAGAGACCCATTTAATTTTTAGCACAGAAATATAATTCATCGTTTCTTCATTAATAATGCTGTGAATTAAATTCAGTTTCCGTGCAGTTCTAACTCAGATCGGACAATCTGTCTTCCTACTTCTTCAGTTTCGTTGCTCTTTCGTTGCCCCACAGCTGAGACAGCTTAAAGTCACATTTAGCTATTGGCACACCCCCTCTCCTCTGGTTGCTGGGCGCTGCTCTCTCTGGCCGTCATGGCTTGGGGCTGCAGGAGTGACAAAACACAAGGCTTCTGGAGAGGGATCTGATTGCACAATATAGTTAGTCAGAGAAGTTGACAGGTGGCTAAGCCTGCTGTTCAAAGTACTTATATACTTGCTCCACCCCACCTCACATTAAGGGCAGAATTAGCGGTTGTTTTTCCACTAGCAGGTGACATTTAGTGGGAGGAGAAAGAGAGCCAGGAAACTCACCCATTATTTTCTTTCACTTATCCCACTAGAAATTTATATTGACAGCACCAAACATTACTCGCTAGTCTTGCTATGGAAGAAGAATAGGGCTTGGCCATGGAGGCAACCTATCTTGGTTGTTTGGCTGTGGCCATTGTCAATCTTACCAAAGGGTAAAGCTCAGACTTTTGTTATAGCTGTTAGAAAGAAAGAAAGAAAGAAAGAAAGAAAGAGGGAGGGAGGGAGGAAGGGAGAAAGGAAGGAAGGAAGGAAGGAAGGAAAGAAGGAAGGAACGAAGGAACGAAGGAAGGAAGAAAGAGAGAGGGAGGGAGGGAGAGAGAAAGAAAGAAAGAAAGAAAGAAAGAAAGAAAGAAAAAGAAAGAAAGGGAAAGAGGGAGGGAGGGAGGAACGAAGGAAGGAAGGAAGGAAGGAAGAAAGAGAGAGGGAGGGAGAAAGAAAGAAAGAAAGAAAGAAAGAAAGAAAGAAAGAAAGAAAGAAAGAAAGAAAGAAAGACCCCTCTTCTTCTTAGGCAGAGAGTTGTCTCAGTTCATAACTCAGGATTTCTTAGATCCAAAACGATAAGCAACCTAGTGCATAAACTAACAAAGCAGACCCATCTTGCTATCAGATTGTAACAGAGATTGTCCCTGGGGGCAGAGAGGAAACAGTGGTCGGGCAGGTTTTAGCCAAGGAAAAGGGAGAGGCATGCATGTCACAATTTCATAGGCCTTGAGTTTAGAAATATAGCAGATGCCCTGATTGAGTGACCTTTCCATTCCCTTCTTCTATCTCACCCTAAAAACCTAATAAGTGTGTTGCAGCTACTTCAGTGTATAATGTAAAATGACATTCCAAAGAAATTATACTTGTTCAGACTGAAGAGTGGTGTTGTGCAATTTCTGCCCTTTTTTTGTCCTACCGGCCTGATTTCTGTCTTTTCTTTTAGATCCAATTTAATGGGTACTCGATTCTCAGTGTTTGACAACGGTGTAAATCCAGACAGAGCAAATGCTGACTGGTCCAATGTACGCCAGGAGCTTGCAGCTGTTATTTATGTAAGGGACCATTCTGTGAACTATTTCCCCATTAAACTTCTATTTAATAGGCAGCCACTAGACTAATCCATACCAAGATGGCAGGTTGCTTATCAGTACCAAGGACTTTTAAGAATTTTCCATTCTCTGCAAAAATCATCCTTGACAGCTATATAGCTTGATCCAAATGTCAGTAAAAATATACTACAATATGAAGAAAAGAAGGAATGTCTGTTCTATATGTTGTGGTTGGGAATAATTTAATTTGTAGATGTTTTTTCATTAAAGGAATTGTCATCTGCAAAGAAACAATGTAATTTAATTTAGATTGTCAGGGAATGTATTACGCTAGTTACATTTTATATCTGCTTATTTCTTGAACCACCCTTCTAGATCTTGCGCCACTTAAATAGGACATATTGCCACTTTATTATAATGTAGTGGATTCTATCAAACTAACAGTTCAAGATAGACATACGTGTTGGTTGAGAGCTGAGAGTTTTCATCAATGATTCTCCGGGGATTTGAGGCAGGCAGAAATCAATGGAGAGTCTTAAGTCCTCTGGTCAGGGGAGGTGATCCACAGAAAGACATCCGTCCTATAATACCGCCTGTGCCTCTGAAAAGTAGAGACTGAGCTTCACACCATTCCGCGAGCATCTTTTCTGGGGCACCAAAGGGGCAGGATTTTCACAGCATTCCCTAGTGGTGAAAGCAGCAACCTCCCAGTGGTAGGGAGTGGGGAGAAGCAGCATCAAAGGATGGGGAGGAGAAGAAGATGAGATAAGGAAGCAGATTGGCAGGGGCAGGTGTGACACATTCCCTTCCTTATTAAATTCCTTCTCTTTTCTTTTCTTTCATATATGTGCTGGGACACTCAATCTTGGGTTTTAGAATTACTGAGACATGTGCAATATAAGGCTTCAGGCTAGCAGAAAAATGACTTTAAACTGTTAAGGATCAGTTGGAGTTGATCATGTTGTGGAGATACATGATGGTAACTCAGTTATGAACGTTGTGGTATTTCTATTTCAGGAGACAAATGTATTAGGTTTCAAAGGACCTCGAAAAATGACAGTGGTCATTCCTGGAATGAATTCTGATAATGAAAGGGTGCCAATCCGTCCCCGAAATGTAAGTTACACATAAACCTTCCTACAAGGTTTCATTACTTCTAAGTAATCCCATGTTCTGTTTATCATGCTTAATAAAATAAAATATCCAAATGTGCAGAAAGGCATTTAGTCACAAAGGGTGCTGCATTTTTGCCATGAAATTTTGTGCCAGCAAAAATATAAAATGCAGAACTTTCTTTTAGATTAGAAGATATAAGGGTTCATTTCTAAAACAATCATTACCAAGGCTTCATTTCTAAAACAATCTTCCTGAACTTGGCATCCTCCAGGTGTGTGGAATTGCAATTCCCATCATGGTTGGAAAGTGTTAAAAGCTGTATATTAATACATATAGAAAGCATTAAGTTGCAGGAAAATGCTCTGCAGCTAAGGATCTCAACCAACAATATAATACAAATATGAAGTGTTTCCATTGACAAAACAAGAGTGAATCAAGCACTATATAAACATTTATTATGTCATCTAGTTTGATATGAAGATATATCTTCAGATCCCTGTTTGGCCATTTCCTTCCAAAGAATAAACCTCATATATATATATATACATACATACATACATACATACATACATACATACATACATACATACATATATAATATATATGTATAACATACTATATATATATAGTTTAAAATAAAATGATTACCTCAGGGCTTCAGATGGAGAAAGGAATGAGGCATCACTATGCACATAATTCTTTCTTCAAAACATTCACAGCAGAAAACACTGATTCTGAAATCTGAGGAAAGAGTCAAAGGCAGTGGCGGGATTCAAGTAATTTAACAACCGGTTCTCTGCCCTAATGATTTCTTCCAACAACCAGTTTGCCAAACTGCTCAGAAAGTTAACAACCGGTTCTCCCAAAGTGGTACAAACTGGCTGAATCCCACCACTGGTCAAAGGTAATGTTTCTTGATCTATGACCTCCACCTGAGTTGGCACTCCAAAATTCCTAGTCAATATGCACCAGGTTGTCAAAAGCTAAGGATTGCAAGCTTTGATATATAATTTATATGTGAATATTGTCCTTTACAAGCTCCCTTGAACTCCACTCATAAAACCTGGAGGAACAAGTATGTGCATACTTAGTTTCTTAGTCTATTAATATCAGGTTTCGCGGCACAACTTTTAAGAGGAGCGAGGCTAAGATGTTACTGTAATTATGCTCAAAAATATTAGAGGACTTCTTGTGATGTACTCAGTGAGAATCAATTGTATGTACATGCATTATTTCTTCATGCAAATATAACCAAATAAATATTTAAGAAGATATCTTTTTGAATTACTTGTGGTAATGCTTTTTCTCACAATTTCCTAGGATAATGATGGGTTACTCATGAGATGGCAGAATAAGATAATGGACAGCTTAATTGAGCTGCATAACAAAGCCCCTGTATGGAACGATGAAACTCAGTCTTATGTGCTGAACTTCCATGGAAGAGTTACACATGCCTCGGTTAAGAACTTCCAGATTGTGCACAGTGATGACCGTAAGTCTTGTGGGATTGTGGATTTTTTTTAAAAAAAAAAAAAACACTTCTACATTTGTGCTGACTGAAAAACTGTTGCTGCTGCTAGTTGGACCCATGGCTAAGTACGGGCATTTTTGCAAATTCAGAGTCAGAGTAGGCATTGCGCTGCATTGTCCATTCAAGAAGGAAATAAGCAAGAAACTCAAAATGAAATCCTGGATTTGCATACTGGAATGGGCCACTGAATTGTGTTGCCCAGTGGATGCTTTGTGATTGACAAAGCACCCAAAGTTTCAAAGTATTTCCCAGCAAATTAAATGCCTGGGCTGGAAACTTACAGAAACTAATGGTAGTCAGATCTACCATTAAAAAAAAAAAAAAAGTTTCATTTGCATTTTTCTCTCTTCTTCCCTTGATGCAAATTATCTAATCAATACAGCATTTCTCAGGTATCCAAACAGTATGGATGGGAAAGATTAGTCTGATGCTAATGAATTACTTATATCAGTCTTCCCTCCTTCTAATAGGGACATTGGCAGGACCTGGATAATTAATTTGGTAGAGGTGGTTAGCTTCCTACTTGTTCAAGGGAGACATATTAGATCAAAGTTTATCCCAGAAGTTGGGATACAACTAGGGAGTAGGGCAGTGCCAGTTTTAAGCATAAGCAAAACAAGGTACAGGGTACAGAGGGACACAGTGGCTCAGTGGCTAAGACGCTGAGCTTGTCGATCAAAAGGTCGGCAGTTCAGCTGTTTGAATCCCTAACGCCTCATAATGGGGTGAGTTCCCATTACTTGTCCCAGCTTCTGCCAATCTAGCAGTTCGAAAGCACGTAAAAAATGCAAGTAGAAAAATAGGGACTACATTTAGTGGGAAGGTAACAGTGTTCCATGCACCGTTGAGTGGTGTTGAGTCCTGCTGGCCACATGACCACGGAGATGTCTTCAGACAGCGCTGGCTCTTCAGCTTTGAAACGGAGATAAGCACCGCCCCCTAGAGTCAGGAACGACTAGCACATATGTGCGAGGGGAACCTTTACCTTTTCCTAAAACAAGGTACAGTTTAGGGCTTCACAATATGCAGATCCTCACAAAATTTCAGGGTAGGTTTTGGTTTTGGGGGGGGGGAATTTGTTTCAAAAATTCAGGTTTAAGTATTGTTTCCAGGATATACTATTATAATCTGTGAGAGAGATCAAGACAAACGATAAGCATCTAATCACTATATACTGTACATTCATTTGAAACTAATTTGTATTTGTTTCTTTAAATGCTTTGCTATGAAATAATTAGATGCTTTTGTGGCAACCCAATGTCCTCTTTCATTACACAACCTTACTGAGACCTTCTGGTGTAACTTTATAACAATAAAGCCTCCAAGCTTAGGGCCTCACCAAGTCTAAATCTGACAGTGGAGCAGGGAAGAGCATTTCTATGTGGCTGATTTTTCTCCACGTGGATGGGTCCCCCTTTCCTGTCATAGACAGGAACAAATTAGATATGGTGTAAGATAGGTATGGTTAATTTTGTATGTACTTCTCTTCAAGTCAGTAATGATTGTTAGTGGCTGTCTGGGCTAGAAAAACTGCTTCAGCTTCTGCAGGTTTTTCAGAAGTGGTTTGCCATTGCCTCCTTATTAGGGTAGAGAGAAATGACTGGACCAAGATCACTCAGCTGGCTTTGTCACTTAGGCAGGACTACAACTCACAGTCTCCCAATTTCTAACCTGGTGCCTTAACCACTACACCAAACTGGTTCTCATGATTAATTAACATATACAATTTCAAATACTGAAACGTATGCCATGGAAACAATATTGAAATTAAGATTGACCTAGCAGGAGGATACATTTATCTCTATTTCCCCCAACATGGTTCCAATGAAAATCCCACTCCAGTTAATCTCAGGAATCATTACTGAAAACAGGAATCCAATCAAAATTTGGGGCAGAGTGACCAGACCAGTGTTTTCTTTTATTCTGACAGACAAGATTGGATTCAAAGCTGATTTGTTTAACCATGATTTGCTGGAAAAAAAAACATAATTGGCTGGGTTCACAAAATGCACTCAAAACATAACATAACATGGTTCAATGGAATATGTGAACTAATTCACAGTTCTTTGGGGAATCTACAAAGTTAGCTTTAAATGTTTGCCTTGACTTATAAAGTGGAACCTTGATTTATGATGACATGCTCAGAATCAGACCAAACGGATACATGCATACAATCTGAGACATGGGAGCCATTTGAAACTGCATCTGTATAAAAAGCAGTTGTTTCTAAGATCTAATTGAAAAACAATTAGTTCATTTCTTTTCCATTTTGTTCCATCTTTTTTATTTTCATCACAAAAGTCTAGTCAACGTTTAAAAGAATTCCAAGGGGTCTCCCATCCAAGTGCTGGCAAGTCCTCAATCCATTTAACTTTAGCAAGTTGTCTGAATCAGAGGTGATGAATATCTCCACACTCACATAAGATTTTTCAGAGTTCTATATGGAGGTGGCTATATGAAATGCTTTTGGTAACTGTTGAAAAATACATAAATGAATCGCTCAAACCAAAACCAAAGCCGATCTTGGAGATTAGCCCTCTAATTGCTTAGGGCAATGGTTCTCAACCTTTTCTTCCCCACAGATACCCCCCCTTTTAAATATTTTTTGTGGCCATGAACCATGGCAATGGATGCCCAAGATTGAACTCAAGATTTAAATCATAACATTCCTTCGAGTCTTCGAGGACCCCCTGTGATGACATTGCCCCCCCCCAGGGGTCCATAGCCATAGGTTGAGAACCACTATCTTAGGGTAATTTCAGTCTGAGTATGTCTCAAGAGATATAAGCCTGTTTGTTCTCTTGAACCTGGTTATGGTATTTAGAGTGCTTAGAGCAACAGCAAAGAAATTGATGTTAGACATACTTGTTAACAAAGAAATTGTAAGGCATACTTGTTTCGGAATAAGTTTTTTTCATATTGCATTAGAATGCTCGATTTCCAAATGGTAATTCAGAATGGCTTCTGTGAAATCTATAATTTATCGTGATTCCAGGGACACGAGGTGAATTTTGCAATCAGGTCTGAACAGGGAAAAATTCAATTGTCCTGGATAGTAGGGCATGGAATATAGTAACAGTCCACTAGAGGGAGCATTATAAGAGGCTGACTAGAGTAATGTTTTGAATGGTTTGAGTCATTCAAAAAGCAAGCTTTATTTTCTTTTGCTCACTTGCAGTACCGTCCACACAATTGAGCATAAACTCATACAACTCTGGTAAACGTTAAAGAACATGCCAGGTGTTTTCCAAAAAGTCACAAACTTCCAGAATTGGATAAGGTATACCCAGAACAGTTGTAATGGCATAATTTGAGAATTTACTGCACTTGATTTGTAATCTCTGATTCAAGAAAACTTCTCTAAATTTGCTGGTGGTAAGAAATATTTTGGGGATGGCAAAATGCCAAAGAATGTTTCTGGTACATTCTTTGTCAGTCAAGAATTCAGTGACCCCATAGCCATTATTATAAAGGACAGTCCTTTATTTCAGAAAGCTGCCCTTTAAATTTATTTAACTTTTTTGTTTTGGTCTTGAATTTTTCTTTGTAAATCAAAGTCATTAACATGAACAATTAATTTTTAAAAAAATCTTTATGAACTTCTTTCAGATTTCTCCCTTTTTCAGGTTTGTCCTTTATTCTTTTTCCCCAAGAAAATGTGGTTACTATAGTCAAGAGGGATATGTATCCAGAGTTTCAAATCAAGTCATATCAATGTTCTGTTGCTGATCACAAGGGCCATTCACAGATTTCTCTGCTGAACTATGGACAGCCCTCAGAGATAACAAGTATGTTATCTCTAATCTCAGGATGAAAAGATGGGAATGGCAGAGCCCCTGGTTCTCCAGAAGCTTTTGACTTTTAACCTCCATTCCATTTCACGAACGTATAAAACAGAGAAGAGAAGCTCATTTAGATCCACATCTGTCAGGAAAAGTGAAACTATTGAAAGTTAATAGGTATTACTTAGTAAATAGTATACATTACTGTAAAAGAAATTATGTAAAAAGTATAGATATAAACCTGAAGATTCCACTCACAAAATTAACAACTGTGTGTGGTTTTAAAAATAAACGGTGTAAAAAAGAGGTTTGAGACTCTAGAAAGAGTGCAAAGAAGAGCAACAAAGATGATTAGGGGACTGGAGGCTAAAACATATGAAGAATGATTGCAGGAACTGGGTACGTCTAGTTTAATGAAAAGAAGGACTAGGGGAGACATGATAGCAGCGTTCCAATATCTCAGGGGCTGCCACAAAGAAGAGGGAGTCAAACTATTTTCCAAAGCACTTGAGGGCAGGACAAGAAGCAACGGGTGGAAACTAATCAAGGAAAGAAGCAACTTAAAACTAAGGAGAAATTTCCTGACAGTTAAAACAATTAATCAGTGGAACAACTTGCCTCCAGAAGTTGTGAAACACTGGAAGTTTTTAGGAAAAGGTTGGATAACCATTCGTCTGAAGTGGTGTAGGGTTTCCTGCCTAAGCAGGGGGTTGGACTAGAAGACTTCCAAGGTCCCTTCCAACTCTTATTCTATTCAAATAAGAGTAGAGTGTCTGGCTAGGTATAAGGATGATCCTATATACCCTATACACACAGTATATTTATTTATAAAATGTATTGGTCGCCCATTTTACCTCCGGGTAATTCTGGGTGAATTATATACCGGTATCTACAATCACCATTACTGTCCAGTTTCAGTCAGGCCATCCATAACTGATATTCATTGGCAAAAATAATGCCCAGTGGAAATTTTTCTTCCAGTGCAAATTGAAGACACCAAAGGCCAATCAAGATTGGATGGCATGTATAGAAAAGGTCATAATCCCTATACTTTATCTGCCATGGATTTGATCCAAATAAAGAATCCTATATCTATTTACTTGTAAGAATCCATTCATTCAGATTCTAATTATATGATGGGACTTGATCTTCATTGTGCTCTTCCTTTGAAAGCACATGGATGATATTGACCACAAGTCGTTTCTGTGGATTAATCTTGATATGAACTCAATATGTTGAGTTCACATAAATGGGATCTAGGGATTTAAAGGTGTGTTTTGTGTAGTCAATGAGATCCTAGTTTTTAGGTTTTTATGATGTTATCTTATTCTTTTGGTGCTCGGTCAAAGCGATTATTTTGATGTTGATGCATAAGGGGGACCAAATATTATCACAATCGTATTTCCTTCCACTTTGTGTATATATTGGGGACATAGGCACACTCTGCAATCTACATCAGAACAGTAAACAGCAGCCACTGAGCAATTTTCAGCCTGTGTGACTTGTCTGCTTGTCACCTGTCCAGCCCAATCAGAAGATGTTACTATCCGGGGGTGTAGGATTACAGGATAGAAAGAACCTGCTCAGGGCCCCAGTTATTTTTACAGATTTCTTGCTGCTCTCGCTGCAAACAAAGGGAGTCACGATCAAAACAAGGAATCAGAGAGGCCTTTAGAAGGCCACACACACACACAGGTCTGGCGAAAGAGCACATTTTTTGGAGGGGGCACAAACCTGTTTTTATTCTCTGTCCATTTAGCTGGAAAAAAGAAAAGGGCTTGCTTAGTAACTCTGTTGAAGAGACATCAGCCATTCATTGCCCAACAGGTGATCAGTCAATTTCTAAACCTTCTGGGTTCTCCTCTGTCCCATTATGCACTCATTCCCTTACCATCTGAATATTTTTGTTTTGCTGCATATGATCTTCAGCCTCAGTGGTTAAAGACGCTGAGCTTGTCAACTGGAAAGCTGACAGCCCAGGTTTCAGATCCTAGCACTGTGCAACAGGGTGAGCTCTCATTCCTTCCCCAGCTCCTGCCCACTTAGCAGTTTGAAAGCATCAAATGTGAGTAGATAAATAGGAAGGTAATAGGGTTCCACGAGCCTTTGGTGTATAGCCATATTGGCTACATGACAACAGAAAATGTCTTCGAACAATGCTGGCTCCCTTGACCAAGCTGAGCACCATACTCTAAATGAGCATATATTGGGGACATATGAACAATGCACCCTAGAATCAGACATGACTGGACAGGAAAACCTTTACCTTTATCCTTACTGGAAAAAGAGATCCAGGGAGTGAGTCTTTGATTGCACAGTTCCCTTGCCTGAGCCATGGACATTTCTTTCTTTCTTTAAAAAAAACAATTTATGTGGCAAATGGGATATGGGAGGCTAACGCAAGTTAAGAACTGAAACAGCAGCAATCCAAAATAATTAAAAACGGTTATAATAGCAATCAAATTGAGTGCACCTGAGGTCATCTGTGCTTAATGCCTGCTGGAAAAGTCAAATCTTAAAAGCTTTAACAGAAGGTTGACAGGATAAGGGACATTCAGAATTCATGAGAATGGGGTTGCCATATGGCAAGCATTGCAGCAGAGAAGGCACATTTTTTATATCCTTCTTGCAAGTTTCTCTTATTATAGCCAGTTCTAATAAAAGTAGTTTTAACCATCACGTGGAATTGATCTCATGATCTGGTCTCTATAGTGAAGCTGATATCAATCTTGCAATTCTGATTGTGCTGCATCTCCTCCTCCTCCTCCTCCTCCTCCTCCTCCTCCTCCTCCTCCTCCTCCTCCTCCTTAAAATTCAGTGAATCAGGGAGGGGTCTGTCTGAATTGCTTCCAAACATTATCTGGACATTCTGGACTTAATTTTTTTTTTTTAACTTAAGTTCCTTTTGCGTAGACAGTAGGTCGTGTGTATCTCTGTCAAGGTAATCTTTCTTACTCTTACTCTATTATTCATGAATGTGGAGAAGATGAAATAACTGTGCAATGCTTGTGTATTTGTAATGCTAGAAGATTTCCACTCAAAAACATTACATTCCAAACTATAAACCAAGTACTGTTTTGAGGGACAATATACGGCAATCAGATTCAGCTTACAGTGTCTTGACAATTGTAGCAGTTATGTTATAATAATTATCTTACTTTTAAATTGAGTGTCGTAGTCCAGAAATTCAGCAAGGATGTTGATGAGGTACATGTGTTGTTGTGGGAGAATGGGAGTTTCATTCAACTCTTTTTATTGCTCTGGGAATTGCTCTTTCTATTGTATCCTCCTTCTCTCTTGGGCAATAGGTCACAGACTCAGCTTTATTTCCCCAAATTCTTTTCCCCGACTCAGATTAGAAGACTTCTTTCAGTGCAACTGATTGCTGTGCAAATTATCTAATGACACTATTTACCTCATGTGGGTTTGCTGCCAATCTCTTTGGGCTGGATATAGTATAATTGCAGAACGTACATAGGCGGCATAAGAGTCTGTATCCAGGATTCTCCCATGCCAAAGGTATCTGTAGGGTGTGGTCAAGAAAAGTTTAGATGCCAATCATGACATGTGATAACAGCTCTATGACACACATAAAAAAAACCAGGTAAAGATTTAGTTGCATGATTACAACCGCCATCTTGACTTTTTTGACCCTGTTCTGTGAATATCCATGCTCCCAAACTCTCTTATGCCTTTCCTTTTAGAATGAACAATGCTAAAATAGACCCAAAAAAGTAAAGGAAAACATCTCGTTGGTCACCTTTATTAATAATAATCCACCTACATCCACCTTTGTTCAATTTGTCCTGTCATGCATTCTGCAGAGGACCAAAGGTTTCCATGGTAAACTTTTTATCTTCTCACCCAATAAATGACATCTTTCTTTCCTGCAGCTGAATACATTGTCTTGCAGTTTGGCCGAGTGGCTGATGATGTTTTTACCATGGACTACAATTACCCACTTTGTGCTGTGCAGGCTTTTGCCATTGCCCTCTCAAGCTTTGATGGGAAACTGGCCTGTGAATAGCATGTCTACAATGCCATCATGCCAAGGTTTGTACCAGGTCTGGACCTGCCAGGTCAAATCCTCTCTGTTTGGTCTAACAGTGCAAGCACAAATATGCCTGACAATGAAAGCCAGCAGGGATGATATGAAGGGGAATGAAAGCTCAGTTGGTATTGTTAAGCATCACCAAATACTACTGGGGAAAATCTGGCAGAATTCTGAGTGCATATTAGTGTAGTGTCATGTTAGCTAGTAATACCATATGCACATATTTGTCTTTAGCATCTGCCTGTGAACATTTGAAGCCGAACATTTCAGTCTTTCATAAAGACTGAAAACATCTTGGTTGTGGATATTGTTAAGTTACCCACTCCTAAGGGATTTGGAACCAGCTGCTCATCTCTAAGGCTGTCAGTGATTTGTTGTATGCTAGTTTGAATCTCAAGAAGATTTGAGTGTTTAGATAAGTGTTTCTCAATCTCAGCAGCTTTAAGATGTGTGGGCTTGGATGCTGGTTGAGGAATTCTGGAAGTTGACGTCCACGTATCTTAAAGTTGCGGAGTTTGAAAAACACTAGTTTAGATAATTTGCTGGGCTGCGGGGTGAGTAGGTGGTTTTGTTTGGTTATTTAAAATTGACATGGGGAAAGGAAACTGTTTTCCTGAAATGATAATGATCATTTGAAAAACAATGGATGGGGCAAGGTCTACTTTATCTTTTCCAAAATCATGGCTCGCCTGTTAGTCACAGGAACATAGATGAATGTGTAAATTTGTTGGTTATAAAAATATAAATTACTTATGAGGGAAGAGCAACTAATGGATTAGAGTTAGGTTTGCAAATTGGGGTCTGAAGACCTTTCTTTAAATACTATATTAAATAAACTAATTTAATATAGTAGGAACAATATATATAAATTATGCACGCCTCAATGAGTAGGGAGATTTTGGTGTTTAGATAAACAGAAATTATTTTGGAATGGGGCTATTTATAAAATTTAAGCATTGTAGAGAGCTGCAATATAATATATTTCTACAAATAATGCATTCTGTCTGGTTTTTTTCTCCCTGTTGTTGTTTTCTTCTTTGTCCCCAGCTTCAATGACATTTCCTCAGCCAGGGAACAGACATGCTCATGTCTTCAAATTAGTACTACTGCTCTTCCAGAACATTCCTGAGCATTACCTTATCATTCTGAAGAAGGTGATTTGAAAAGGTTGCAAATTATCACCTTAACTTATTAGTAACAAATATGTCTGGCCCAAACTTGCTTGGCAGGATCCAGTTCCACCCTGTTTCTCAGCATGCCCAGCAATTAAGGTTAATCTGTATGACCAGGTTGTCCTACTAACCATTTCTCTGATGGCAACTTCTATCCACCCCCAGCCCACCAGGAAGACCGATTCTACCCTCCTTTCCTGTCATGAACTAAAAATGATGTTTTTCCTAATGCCGTGCTTCATTTCTATATAGAGAAAGATCTCCACTCCAATTAGCTATCATGAACAACGGTGGGGAAACTTTTTCCTTCCAGTCATTCCCTTCCCTTCCAGTTGGCATTTTGTTATGGAATCAACTCTTGGTTGATCTGAATAAAGCAGACCCTGCACTCGTGGGAAAATACTAGGAAAAAAAGGAAAAGCCAGAATGCCTGACATCTTATGAATGGATCTCAGTTGATGAACTTGTTTGCTTCTTGGTTTCACCAGTGGACCCGCGAAGTGGTGAACTTTTTCAGGTTTGCTTTAGATTTTTTGTGCCTACCACTTCCTCTAGTTTCCACTTTGTTCACCTGCCTCCTTGTGTTGTAATTGCATCTCAACAATTTGGTGGAAAAAAACCAAAACCAAGAGGAAGTGACCCTTGTTGCTACAATAATAATAATAAAAAAAAACAACAGTTAGTTGATTGTTTCACTGATCAAAAGTGAAAGGTTCAACTTTTTTTAAGTTCATTGACTGAGCCATGAAAAATGGTTGGTCCTTCCTTCCTTCCTTCCTTCCTTCCTTCCTTCCTTCCTTCCTTCCCCACTGATGGATGTACCAGTCAGAAACCTATCAAGTACGAAGAGAGTCCACCAAGGGGACTTCATACAAAAATTCTAACAAAGGAAACCACTGTTCTCAAAGACTCATCCACAGAAGAGAAGGATGTTGGTACTTGCTTTCCAAGTATGAAAAAGAAGACCGTGTGTGTGGGTGTGTCCGTGGGTCCACCAAGTAGGAGCTGTGGTAAGCAAAACCTAATCAGAAACTCAGACCATTGCCATGGCCAAAGCAGAGAAGAAAATTGAAGTTCAGAAAGGGAGTTCTTATCCAGCTTCATTTCTAGCCTATTTATACACAGAATCTTAAGCCTGCAGCATGAAAATACTGTAACTGAATATATTAGAAATATTTTTATTTTTATTTAGTGTTCCTTGAGAAATCTCTTGATCCTACAGGAAGCTCAGAGAGTATTTTGATCAGAAACTACTCTAGTAGTCATTACTGGACCCATGAGAATGTATGATTTGGCTAAGAGAATTTAGACGAAATTGGTAATTATTCGTCAAATATCTTCAATATTCTGTGAATATTATTTCTTTAACTGGATATTCCTGAATTTATTTGAATGGTAATTTCAACTCTATCCATTAGTATCATTTCCCCATAGTATCATTGTCAGGGTGTTAACATCCACTTTTTAAAAAAACCAGTCTGCTATCTTTATTATCAATGTTATACTGTAATTTTAAACAAGTTAGGACCAAGCTACTTCTATACAAAGATAATACTGGGAAGGAAGGAAGGAAGGAAGGAAGGAAGGAAGGAAGGAAGGAAGGAAGGAAGGAAGGAAGGAAGGAAGGAGTGTATTTTACAAAATAAATTAGCAGATCTCAATCAAATTTATCAAGTGGTGGAAGCACAGGGAAGTATTCAGGTAAATGCTTTTAACCTTATTTAAGTTTAGTTGCAAATGTATTTTTAGTTATTATTCCACCTTGCTTTCCAAGAATGTCAAGAGGAGAGCATAGTACTGCAGATGCATTATACATCATTTGGGAGTAGGGAAGTCTCCCTCACTATTTAGCCACCTGTTGTTTAATGCATAACTGATAACTTCCATCCTACAATCTGAACACCCTCAGACCAAACTATTTCTTCATTGAACTAGACAGTCAAAAGCAGCAGAAAGCTCCAGTGGACGGCTAAGTTGTTGCAGGAAGTACTTAGTAACAATGACTCAAAAGGTGTGGCTCTCTTTGTGAATCACAGTGTGGCACTTCACAAGAGTATCGATGAGGGGTGTTTTGCTTGCTTTTTCTTTTCTGAAGCCTTCGCATGAGCCTTGCCTTCCTCGGGTGGCTCATTTGGTGGATTTGCCTGAAAATGGATGTGCTTAACTTTGAGTAGGACATCAAAGGTGCTTAAGCCATCAACAGAACTCTTGTTTCATCCAGGGTTCAGTTAGGTAGAGTGAGAGCCTTCACTTCCTGTCCTCATGTGACATTCACGGTTATTACTGTGGGATGTAGGATGATGCCTTCCAAGTCACAATGAATCATACATGTAGGTGTGGAAGGAAGGCTGGGAGATGTTTTGTACATGTGAGCTGTAATTAATTGTTATTGTTATTCTGATTAATTGTAAAAGGAAAGACACATATAAATCTTGGTGGTTTCTGAGTGTTTTTCCCTTCCCCCTCCATTATTTAATATTAACCATTGTTATAATAATACAGAAGCCTTTCCCAACCTGGTTTCCTCCAGATATATTAGGCTATAACTCCTATCATCCTCAGCCAGCCCTTAGCATGACACATTTGGAAAACACTATGCCAGGAAAGAGCAATTTATATCTGGATAGAGAAACAAAGTCACCAGTGAGCTCCAGGCTGAAAAATGCAATGTTACAGTCAAAGTTTGTTACAGTTTGTGATGACCTCCTACAAGAGGAGTGTAAGACAAGTACAAATGTACTGCAGCAACTCAGAACACAAGAAGAAAACAGATCACCTATACAACATCTGCCAAAGAATGGATACTCTCACAACTTTATAAAAAAAAAGCCTGATCACTCAACCACTACAGCACAACCAACACAAGCTATGAAATGGATAATGCTACCATACATCAAAAACATCTCAGAAAGAACTACAGACTATTGCAACTACATGGCATTACTGTAGCATACAAACCAACTAAAACTCTCCAAAACTTCTTAAGCAAACCAAAAGACCCAGTAGCCCAAGAACAAAAATCAAGAGTCACCTACAACATACTGTGTAAGAGCTGTAGTAACCACTATGTAGGGCAGAGAAGCAGAAGACGAGCACAGTGGATCCAAACAGCAACCAGAAGACATAATGAAAACTCTTTAACTTCACAACACATGGACAGACTCAACCGTAGTTTAACTGGGGAACTGTGAGCATCCTAGATGAAGCTAAATCCAAAAAGTTAGATTCCTTAAAGCTTGACATTTAGACAAATTAGTCATCAATAGACACAGAGAAAAATCACATTTACACTCCATTCAAAAGAAATAATAAAAAGTTAAGAAGGAAACAAAAATCACCAGATATTATCCCCTCCAATAAGCATGGATTAACATCAGACAAAGAAGCAAAAAACAACGCCATAATCAAGAAATTACCAAGGAGAAAACCATACACCCTTGAATACTGGCAGGGCAAGCTACTGTATATAAACAGGGAGCAAAGCCCACACTCACTAGCACTGATGATGGTACCTATTTGAGTAATGAAATGTCTGCAAACAAACAAGCAAGTTCAGAGAGTACCAAAGGCTCCGTAGTTCAACCCCAAACTATTTATATTCTCTTCTTTGTAATGAAGTATTAGATAAGTACATTTGCCTTGGGTCATTAGTCTCCATAAGCAATTACTTTTGAAACCATCTGTTATGTAATTTTTTTAAAAAAAATATCACATTTTAAGGCCACATCAAAGACAAGAGATTGACACAATGGAGAAAGCATTTTCAAACTCCATGATAATTAAAAGCAAAAGATGAAAAATCAATGAAAATTATGTCCTCTTGTGAATTAGCTTCTTCATAGTCAGACACTGTAGTGGTCCATCATTAATAACATGATTAGCTCTCTTCAATCTGACATAATTTATCAAAAGAGAACCATTGGAAGAGAACCTTGTCAGGTGTGAAAGATCAGGTACACACTGTGAAAGTCCAATTAAATTGATTTATTGCTACTTATGCCTATGCACAGGAATATTCTCAACTAATAGTTAGCACCTAACAGGAGTTAGATAAGAGCCAACAGAATTCAAGGGGCGGCGGGGACATGACTTAGTTTGTTGGACTTAGTTTGCTTATGGCAATGTAGAGATTCTTAGCTCTTTTAATTCTACCTCCAGATTCTGGTACTCCGTCCCCTACAAACCTTGAAGTTGCCCAACAATAATTTTATTACCACCAATAGTGCCATGAACACAAATTCTTCAGCAGTTCTTTTCTCCAGAATTTCTCGTTCAATTTGATAAAAGTGGATTTGCTTTTGAAATTTCCTGCAAAGGTGAAAAGAATGTTAATTGATTTCTCATGGATAGTGTGTGGTATTCTGGGTATTTGTTTTGTTTTTTTTAAATGTTTATGAAAGAGTTTTTCAAGCAATACAAGACAAGTTGAAAAGAAAAAATAAATGAAGATAAAAAGAGCAGAAAACAAAAGATAAAAAAAGAAAAGATAAAAAACTAAACGTAGAGAAAAAGAATGACTTCCAACCTTCTTTGCAACAGAAATTAACAAATTTAATATCCAGCCTCCCTCAAATTACAAAAATCTCGCAGCCCCTTTAGTCTTTTCCAATAATTAAATCTATAAATCATCACTGTACTTTTCTCTGTTTTCAGCAAAAAAATCCATAAAAGGTTTCCAGTCTTTTTTTTTTTTTTTAAGTACTTATTGTTTTATTCTGGGTAAACAGGTCAGTTTTGAAATTTCTGAAAATTCCAACATCTTCACAACTCATTTCTCCATTGTGGGAATTTCAGTATTCCTCCCCTGTTGTGCAGATAATAGTCTTGCTGGAGTAACCATGTGTGAAATCAGTCTTCTGTGAGTTTTTCTAGCTGACTGTCTATAAATTCCAACAAGAAAACATTTGGCTTTTTCTCAATATTTTTCAATTATTAACTTTTATGACTTTTTATATCATTGTATGTGTTTGTATCCAGAATTTTCTAGCTTTTTCATAAATCCACCATGCTTAATAAAATGTCCCTTCATGGTTTTAGCATTTCCAACATTGATTTGAGGTACCTTGATACTGTATAACTTTGATAGTTTCCCTGGTGTCATATACCAGTAATACAGTTTTATAAAAAAAAGTCTCTTCAATTATAACAAACTGTGAATGTTACTCCATTTATCTATATTCTCTCCCGTCAATATCCAATTTGTATAACCAATATATCCAATATCCATTTGTATAACCAAAATTCATAATCCTTTTTATTATGTAATTGTAATATTTAGCTTGTTCTTTATCAGTTTCAACCTTAATAAAAGCTTGTATACTTTTTAAATCACATGTTCATCATTTGTGTATAATTCAGTTTCGATTTTAGTCTTACATTGATCAAGTCCAGTTACCTTTTACCTATATTACATGTTTTTCCTAATTGTGCACATGAAAACCATTTGAAAGTATATTCCCCTGCTGTCATTTGTTCTCTTGACTTTGTCTTAAATTCCCCTTCTTCCTGTGTTAGCAAGTCTTGATATATTACCCATTTTTCTCTATATTTGTACAGGTAGTCCTCAACTTACAACAGTTTGTTTAGTGAGTTATGACTGTTTTTCACACTTACGACCGTTGTGGCATCCCTATGATCATGTGATCAAAATTCAGATGCTTGGCAACTGACTTGATATTTATGACGGTTGCAATGTCCTGGGGTCATGTGATTACCTTTTGCAACATTCTGAGAAGCAAAGTTAATGGGGAAGCCAGATTCACTTAACAACGGTGTTGCTACCTTACCAACTGCAGCGATTCACTTAACAACTGTGGCAAGAAAGGTCATAAAATGGGGCAAAATTCACTTAACAAATGTCTCACTTAGCAACATAAATGTTGGGCTCAATTGGGGTCATAAGTTGAGGACTACCTGTATTCTATAAGCTGCTCAGAATCTACTGGAGCAGATGGCCATAAAAAACTTGAATAACAATAATGGTAATAACTTGAACACAATGAGCATTGACAACATCACCATCAATCAATTACAAAAGGCACTTTATATGGAACAGCTTACATCATACAATGATATAATAACATGTCAAACATCTGCCTATCCCAGGTTCTGGGAAGGACTCAATAGGTGCATAAAAATGCCAAATCCAATCTAGACATCTGGCTAACTATGCAACAAGCCATAATAAATTTTAAAATCACAAGTCAAAAAGGTTAAAACCTTTCCAAACATATCACAGTATGCACATTAAAATGAGTAAGTTTTATCATGTTTACTTGGTACCTGAATTATTGCAGATTAATCTCTTTGGGGCTTATATGATCAGTGATCATTGTCAAGCAACTCTTTCTGTGAACATGTGCCACAGCTCATCTTCCCTCTGATGAAAGCATTTCTTAGAGAAACGTTCTTAGAACAAAGGCAGAAGCAGATTCTGTCCTTGTAAAATCTTAAAAGGATATTGCAAAGGTTTGCCAGGAGGAACTCAAGATCCAATCAGTCCTAAATACTCCTAGTTTTCTGTTATGTCTTCTCTCCTCAAACAAGTGCAGTGGAGATAATCTATTTGTCTAGTATAGTTTTTTCACCTTTACTTAAGTGTT